ACTTTACTGAAATATCAACTCAAGAACGATATGTTTTTACTTTAAAAATTTTTCTTTTCTTTCCTGTGTAAATATTTACATCATTTTGATATTGTGATCTTCACTCAGATACAGAATTCAATACGGTCAGAAAATAAACAAGAGAATGGCTGATAATGTTTCTTCGGTTGTCGGAAATCTGCAGGAACTGAACAGTGGATATTGTGACCCTGCAATGTTTATCACTCCGCCACTCGTTTGAAAGGGATGAGTTACTACTACTTTAAAACGTTGTACTTTGTCGATACATATGTTTGAGTAGTCATCCGTGTAAATTTACGTCCACTGGCCTATTCGAGAATTTTAGCGAAAAAAATGTGCCTTTCGACAGGGTTCAAACCTGCATTCCTCCGACTGGCCCCAAATCTTTAAGCCACTCAGCCAATATAAAATTGACATTAAAATTAATAGTAATATGAAATGTCGGATAATAAATAAAATCCATTTATTCCTCATTTAGGGATGAGTAAAAATAAATAAAGAAACCGAAGGGTTTTCGCATTTAAGAATGCGTAAGTTGGAACGTCGATGTATTTATGTATAATTTCGTGTAGACATTAACGATACCTAACCTAAACTGAAACAAGGCTACAACAGTAGAACACAAAATAATGAGCGAGGGGGAACAATTTACGAAACTGGCTTGCAAACCATCGCAGACATTTGAATATTTACTAACATTCGCCAAGTATGATACGACGAGACATTCATTAAAAATTCACTACCAACGGCCTACGAGATGTTATAAAATAAAATAAGGCATATCTCGGCTGATTTGCAGGCAAATAAACTAACATACTCAAGAGCGAGAGCCGGATGTGAACGGGACAAGACCCCGTCACAAAATGACCATTATCGTCGTTTATGCATAGTCCCGACGCACGAGTTCCGGTCGAAAAATAAAATAATATTTTAAAGTGTTCCTATTTCTCGACCAATAAAAATGCTTCCCTCCTAATTATACTCGCGTCGTTTTTCGAGCCTGTTAAGCCATAAAAAACGCCATAAAAGGGGTCACACGGGGAAGTACAAGAGCAGTCAACAAGAGGCCGGGGAAGAGATCTGTCACGGTCAGCCTGGGCAGTCAGCAGCAGTCAGCAGGAGAAGCGCCACATCAACCAGTGAGAACTACTATGAGAGATCAACCCAGATCGACTGCCGGCTTATGAACGATACCACAAGGTAGCTGTCCCAAAACCACACGTTCCTATTGAAATAAATCACGTAAATCTATTTCTGTTGTCGTATTTCTTTCTTGCAACCATACGCTTGTCTATAACAGAGATAATCTGTAGGCATGTAGACGATAGATATCTATTGTAGATCAATGTTTATCAAGCCAGTGTTGCATGCCATAGATAGTGTTATAAGTTAGGTCCTCACTGAGTGCCCTACTGTTGTATCCATGTTTCAAAAAATAAATTAAGCTAAGTAGACGAGGGGATGGATGTACACACATCGGAGAGCAGAAAATGGAATCAGCGTGCCAAGTTCGACTTCCGGTTGAGTTTGTTACGTTCTCTTTCCCAAAAGCGTAAAAGTATGAATCCATCTCTTCTCCTTCCATCTATAGGTTAAATAGCAAGACAGGGTGGGCTCTCTGCCCTTGGCTGGTAACAAGCCTAAGAGAAGGACAAATTCAAAACCGGCTGGGCGTGGGGCCAGTAACTATCCTGTAAAAACCTACTTTTACAAAAACTACAGCAACAACACTTCGCGTGGTGAGGCTGTGACTATTCTCTATACACGAGTATGGCACTAAGGAGGAGGAGACAAAAACGAACAAGGATAGATAGATAGATAGATAGATAGATAGATAGATAGATAGATAGATAGATTATACGGCTTCTTGCATGTACTACTGGATGGATGCAATGATTTAAGAAGGAAACAATAGACTGAATAGATAGATTAGATAGATAGATACACACATAGATAGACAAACAGATAGATAGATAATGAACAGACTGGAATAGATAGATAGATAGATAGATAGATAGATAGATAGATAGATAGATAGATAGATAGATAGATAGATAGATAGATAGATAGATTACCCTATAACAAGTGTCTTGACATTTACTAGTACTAGTCTTGTTTTCCTCTTATTTCCTCATTGTAATGGTAATATTAGCCATTCCCTTACAAAGAAACATTTGGCATTGATTGACCGAGAAGCCAGTACGGGTTTCGGTTTAAATTTATAAAATCTTTTTTTTAAAACAATTTTCAGGATAATAGGTTTATGAAGTCCAATAGCTGTTATCGCTCTTTCTAGAATTGATTGGTGTTTCCTTCCTAACCTTTTTATTTGAAATAGTGTGGAATTTATTCAACATCTTGATTATGCCAATATTTTCTCTTCGAGCTTACATGTGCTATCCATTTTAGCTCTTGCTGCTGTTGGCAGTCCTTAAGTGATGTGGTTTCTATTATTTGGTACGGTTCTTTGTTTGTGACTCTGTAGCGCCAGTGCACAATTTTCAAAGAAGGATGGTCTTTTTCAAGTCCGACAAGCTTTACTCGCTCAAAGTCATTTTTAACCATTAGAAATCGGTTGTATACAGCTGACAGTTTAGATATTACTGAACGCGTTTGGCTCCACATATAATATTTATTGATGAGTATATTCCATCAAATATGGTACAAGGCCAAAATTATGGAAAGGGGGCGGCTGGTCTTCATCCTATCCATGTTTAACTTAGCTAATCTCAATCACTGACTCACTCGTCCGATAATGTTTCATTCACCATAACGCCACATTCTTTCATACCATTCTTTACTACAATCACCGAAATACCACATTTCTCTATAAAGTCCCAACTAATCTCCAATTGTACAGCATTGTACAATATATATATATATATATATATATATATATATATATATATATATATATATATATATATATATATCCCCAATGTGTATTTACAATGTGAAAAATATATATTTCCAAACACGTTTTGTAATCAAGCGAACTCTGGAATTTATCTAATAATTTAAGATTAATGAAAAGTAGCCTTCCTAGAGCAGTAGCATCTTTGTAATCTCCTTGAGACTTCACATATTATTTAATCATTTAATTATTTATTATCTAATAATTTAATTATTTACACTATTTACTTCGGGACTTTTATCCTCATCTTTGTTGTTGTTATCACCTGCATTGGGGTGTCACGTTGGGTCCGTACCGATTCGATAATTTATGCCCGAATTTCTCAGGTTATCATTATTTACACTATTTACATGCTGACTATTGACTTCGTCTCTGTTGTTGTGATAATGTAAATAGTGTAAATAATGATAACTCCTCATTCCAGAAATTCAGGCAGAAATTAATAATTTAATATTAATGAAAAGTACGAGCAACGACGAAGTCTTTTAGGCATATGAGAACTTAACAGATATTTGCGCCAAGGATAAGAAGGAGACGGTTGATCTTTCTGGGACACATAATGAGAAAATAAGGCTTGGAGAATTTGACACTCGCAGCATATACTGAAGTGAAGAGAGTATGAGAGAAGCAGTGAGTAACCCCTCCCCCCTAACGAGCTTGTGTGAATGGATTGCAGAACAGGGACTAGGGGATGGGATAGGAAGGGGACAAATATTGCTTAGAGCCACGAAGGATAGGAATTTGTCGAGAGCCATGATTACCCACGTGCTGAAGAGCCACAGCACATGAAAGCTTCCTAAGGTAATGGTACTTTAGTCACTTTTGGAGTACTCCTCTTAGGACTTCACGCATTTACTCCAGTGGTTGTTTTTATCACATTCTAAAACAGACTGCATAATTCACTTTAGGGATTACTACTATGTGACTCTCCACGTTCTCCTTAATCTCGCGTATGGTCTGAAATTGATTTTAGTCCAAAATATTACAGAACCAAATCGGGAGGTGAAAGAGGTTAAACATTCTGAGTGATGCAATGTTTTTAAAAAAAAAACTATGCAAGAGACCTGAAGATGGTCGAAATAGTTGTACAATTTCCGGATATTCTATGCAATTTCCAAGTCTAATTTTCGCACTACCAATTACCGATTTCCTTTGATTGTAACCAGTATGCATTCAATATTTACGGGTGCCCTGCTTTGTGGAAAATCTTCCAATAATGTGGATCGCCTTCAAGTTAAGTATTCAAATATTTTCCGTGTGTGTGTTTTAATTATTTACTTGATTTCTTAAGATTCATCAACCTTTTGTGGGTTATTTAAAGCAGAAACATATTTCGCATTACATTACACAATGTTCCCAAGCATTCCCCCATCTAAATACTGTCCGGGTTCGAACTGCTTAATTTTAGTAATAGAACGCGAGCCAAACGATTGCCTGAGCTCTAAACGAAATATGATGCAGATTCGCTGTGAATGTGACATACACGCAATGCGCAAGGTCACTATCGACTGACTCACAGGAGAGTATATGTCCACATCTGCGCGGTAAGGCTCCCTCTGATTGGATGCCAACAAGGCCACGTAAGTTGTTCATTCGATACTCTGAATGGCTGGATACCTTAAGGACAGACCTTGTATTTCATTTGATATTTATCCATCTTAAAAGTTCGTTACAATACCAAATATAGAAAAATGTGGAACAGGAAGATTGTGTTGCGATAGTCTTCCAAATTGCTAAAGCCTACCTAGAAAATTAGTATTCAAAGTTATGCTTTTTACGTCGGTACGAAATACATACATATTTCGGTCTCGAGCAATCCAAAACATTTACTAATCTTTTCTTACACGGGGTAACAAGCAATCAGTGAGTATCGAACTCACTCCGAGACTTGCTTACTTAGTACAAGTGTTCTGGATTTGTTTGTACATAACGTTATTTAATAAGCTTGTAGAACATAGAACTTAGTACTTCGAATCTGCGATCCTAGCTCGTTAGCCATTACCACAAGATGCGCTCTGATTTCCAATTCTGAGCCGTTATCCATTACACCACTCGCACATTCAAGCTTACAGCACTTGCTATTCCCAAGCGGTCACCCATCTAGGTATTAACTAGGCTCGACGTTGCTTAATTTCGGTGATTGTACGCGAAGCGGTGTTTCAACGTGATATGACGGTAAGCTTGATCTACGTTTGTGCATATGCACATATATGTACAGGGAACAATGTGACGAAATGACAAAACTTTATATCTGAATTTTTGGCATCGATCAAATTTTATTCCGAATTTTTTACTAGGTTCGGCTAGGGTTTAAAACCCGGATATGTAACATGGCTTCTTTCATTTTTATGTATATATTTTATCTCCTATGCAACTTACCTCTGTACAACGATGCAGTCACTTTGGGGGTTAATCGTTTTCTGCATTATTTTTTTTATTATTATTATTCTGGTGCTAGAAATATGCATAAAATTTACAGAGGTATGATAGCGTCAGTTGAACACAGATTTCAATTCGACGTATAACATGGTTTCTTATTCTGTTTTTTTAATTGTCGTCTACGAGGAAATAACATTCAAGCAAGTCGATCTCACGAAACTCGTTATCCCATCTTCTTTACGTGCTGTGTCCCCTCGGGAAGTAGGCTCTCCACAATTTCCTGTCCTTTATAGCTCTTTTTGTTCTTTCTCATAAACCTTGTTCTGCCATCCATTTACTATGTTATGCGTTTTTTCGTGTCCCTCTTGACTTCAATCTGTCCTTTGAGTATCAGATTTTCCAAGCCCTCTTTCCTCATCATGTACCCTAGAAATTTAAACTGTCTCTTCCTCATGTTAAGTATAAATTTGCTTTTTTCCCCATTTTCTCTAAAACTTCGTCGTTGCTCACGTCGGCTTCTTTTACCTATCGACTAACCATCCTATCGCAGATTCAATTAAAATCGTTTCTACTTTGTGCATGATAACCTATTTTTTTTCTTTGAATGAGTAGCGATTATAAATTCCAGCTAAAATATTTTTCGTTTTGATCGACATTTTTCTAAATAGTTTATCATAATAACAGATGAACTGCAAATTATCACTGAAAATAAATAACATTTAAAGAAATCTATACTTTAAAAAAATGCGTAACGTGACATTTTTATGAAAATATTTTTTTCTGTGTGGTGTTATCGTCCGAAGAGTTTTTGAAATATCAAATACTAAATTACCTTCATTCAAACTAGCTTCATATTATGTTCCCACATTTATCCCATATCGTTAAAGATGTTTTAACACGAAGAGACATTGCAAGCCAATGTGATTTTTATATCTTCAGCATGGCTGCTTCTTTATGAGCATGTCCATCTGCTGAGACTCATTTGCATTTCTTCAACACCCACAAAGCCAACTTGTGGGAGATACAGCAACTATGCTATGTGTACCTTAGTTACAGTACAATTATGTGCCCCATCAGGACCACATAAGGGATCCCCTAGAGATAGCCTTAGCTAGGGAGGCCGTGGAGCGTTCGAATAGCGAGCGCTACATGGGCCAGGTAATTAGACATAGGTTAAGCAAGATGTCTTCCGAAGTTGTGAATATGGGCGCAAAATTGCGCAAGGAAGAGGTCCGTCAAGGTGGCGATCGTTACATTCGTGAAGTCAAAACACCGGAGGAGCGTACTCTTCGGGCCACTGACGACATGTGCGAGGCGTTTCGGCGGCATTTCGAGAGCCGGTTTACCAAGGAGCCTGGTCTTCGTGAGGACGAGTTTCGCAGCTTTTTGGCTGACTGAAGCGGCTAGCTGCGAAGGAGAGATTACGGACGGCGAGGTCTACGCGGCACTGCAGAAGGTCGGCAGAGGCAAGTCGCCCGGTCTGGATAGTTTGCTCTATGAATTGTACTTGAGGTTCCGGCAGGAGTCCCCCCCGACCGATTTTCCAGGGGTGTGATCACGCTATTGAAAAAGGGCAAGGGTGTTGGGGGGAACCTAGATGATTACAGGCCCATAACACTGCTAAACACAGAGTTAAATATTTTGGCCAGGATCCTGCAGGAGCGTTTGCAGTCAGTTGCCGAGTCTCTGTTGGGTCCGGAGCAGACTTGTTCTGTGAAGAGCCGAACAATTCAGAGCAACCTGCATCTGATCCGCAAGATCATAGAGGGAGTAAAAGACGACGACGAGGCCGCACTGATCAATTTGGATCAGTCCAAGGCATTTGATAGGGTTGACCATCGCTACCTTGCTACTGTTCACACCCGACTTCTGACGCTGGATTAGCCTCCTGTATCGCTCCCCCAGTGCTGTGGTACAGGTGAACGGAAAGCTGTCGAGCGCTTTTGCGCTGTCTGGGTCGGTTCGTCAGGGTTGCCTCTACTTTATGCTTTGGCGTTGGAGCCTCTCCTTCGCCGGCTGAGGGACAGGGCGTGCAGTCCGACCCTACTCAGAATTGCCGTTCCTGGAGGAGCTCGAGCCAGGGTTTCTGCGGACGCCGCTGATGTATCTGCATTCATGTTGTCCCGCAGCGACATTGAGGCGGTACTGAAGGCGCTTGATCGGTATGAAAAGGTGACAGGGGCCAAGATTAACCGCGACAAGTCGTCCGGCTTGCGGTTATGTGCCTGGAAGGGGGTCGATCTTTCGAGGCCCTTCGGTTGGACGGACGGTCCTGTCCGCATTCTTGGAGTGTGGTTTGGACTCGATCTCCAGCTGGAGAAAAATTGGTCTGAAGTACGAGCAAAGGTCGATGCGGTCGACCAGATTTAGCATCGACGGGGGTTGTCCGTGAAGGGCAGGGCGGGGGTGTGTGCTACATACATTTTCCCTCTTGTCCTTTATCGATTGTCCGTACTTCCTCTCTGTGACGACCACAGGAAGCCGCTCGAGCGCTCGCTATCCTCCATTTGTGTCTGTGCACAACGTCCGTGTCATGGGGGGCTGGGGATGCCACACTTGGAGATCCATAAACGTGCCTCGAGGTTAGCTTTCATACGTCGCGCATTGACAGGAGATTCGATTATGGCGGGGATTGTTAGGGACGCGTTCCCTTCCCTTACTATCAGTACACCCCCCCCATCTCGCGGGTTGAGCGCCATCGTAAACCCCGGGATCAATCAGATTTCCTTCCTTGTTGGCCGTTCCTCGGTCCAGTGACCTTTCTCAGCCTAGGAAGGTCTTCTATCGTTTGTTCGTGGAGGGGGTCGCGAAGGATTCCCTACGTGAATATCTCGGCTTGTCCGAGGATGAGTTTCGCTCTTACTGGTCTTGGGCGCCAGCGGCGGATTACCTCAGTAACCCTGAGTTTTCGCTTACCTAGCGATTGGCTCGAAATCGGCTGCCTCTCAATGACAAGGCCTTCATATGGGGCTTGGCGGATTTGCCAGACTGTGAACGGTGTGGCCTTGGTTTAGAAGAAACGGCTTCGCACGCCTTCTACCATTGCTCCCGGGTCCGCCCCTTATGAGACCATGTCGGCGAGCTGACGACTCGTCTCGCTCCCGAAAAGCTTGTGCCCATTGATCGCACATACGCGTGTGACAATGTATTCCGGGGTGAAACCGTTGGTGTTTCTGAGGCTGCTAGCCACGGCCCGAATGGTGATATGGACGACGCGACAGGAGGAAGTCTTGCGGGGCACTCGTGTTTCTCATCAGGATCTGATCCGATTCTTTGAGCATCAGCTCAAGATGAAGATTAGAACTGATAGAAAGCGCATGCATTCGACAGTCTTCAGCGAAAGGTGGGTGACTGAGGCGAGCTTGGTTCGTTTGAACCGGGTTAGCCTTGATTTTCTCTTTTAGGTCAAGCCTACGTCATATCGGGGTGGTTTCCTATGGAGCCCTCCCCTTGGTTAGGTTAGACAAGCTTTTGTGTACCTAGTTATTGTAAGTGTTGTTCCCGGTCTGTCCCCGGCCACATCTTTAGTTATGATCCAGCCTGAGATTCCCAACCTCCCCAGTTTGTTTTTGGCCCTTTTTTTATCTCAACTGGGTCAGCTTTATATTTTCCCATGCCCGTATGAGTTTTTTTTTATCCTTTTCCCACTCCCTTAGCGAGAGAGCTGCTTGATTTTGTCCCATGGGCAGAATACAGTGGCCTCTCTGTTTTGAGGGTTGGACGGGTCCTACTAACTTCAGTTATGTTTAATTTGATTTGTGTTAATATTTTAGTTCGTTATTGGGTTCATCTCCCTCCCCTTTCATTTTTTCATCATTGATTTTTATATATATATCTTTTAGTATCATTAAATTTTTATGACACGGGGCGCATTTTGTAGGTCTCCCTAGTGAGAATGTGGTATTATGGTGCATGGAGGATTGATTGGTGACGGTCGAGTTCCTGTGGTGAATGTGGAAATTATAATGTATGAATGTGAATCGGATTAGCTAGGTATAAGATAGTTAGTGAAGACCAGCCTTACCCCTCCCCTTTTTCGGCCTTGTGCCACAATTTTGTACTTTTACAAAGTAAATATAAAGACGTTAGGTCCAACATTTTAGAATTATTTATCTTCGTTTTACAAATTCTTATTGATCACAGAAGTTAAATTCTATTTCATCTTTTTATGGAAAAAAATGTTATGATCAGAACGTTTCGGCCGTTTTGCCCCTTCCAGCCTTCTTCAGGTATCTGTCGACCCGGATAACCTTCATGGAATTTCGAATTGAACACTTTATTCAGTGTACGGAAGTTGATTGTTCTATATCTCGTATCCATGTCTAGAGATATTTCGTCTTGAATAATTGTTCAGTTATTTTTCATTAAGTCTGGGTATATCCGAATCCAAGGATTGAACTCAATAACCAAAGGTTTATTTCTCTAGGCCATTGTCTCGATGCTAGAACCTGGAATGTGTTTTTTGTTGTTGTTTTTTGTTTTGTTGTATTTTTTTTTTGTTTTCTTTTTGTTTTGTTTTTTTTTTTTTTTTTTTTTGCCTGCTGCTGTCATAAAAAAGAAGCGACGAAGAGAACCAAACTTGATAACAGCAGTAGCAGAAGAGGTTAGAAGAATATTAAGTTTAAGGCTTCAGATTCTAGCCTCAAAATTGACACACTAGAGGACTAAATAGTTGAAATTGGTTACAGACTAATTTCGAGTTCAGTCCCAGATCCGAGTAGTACGGATATATATTTAAACTTGTTGGAAACTGGACCAGTAATAACTGAACAGTTAACCAAGATGAGGTATCCCTAGACATGGACAGCAGACTGAGAAAAATATCTACTCTTGTAGATTGAATAAAGGAGTCAGTTAGAAATTTCTTGAATGTTACCTGGATCAACAGAAACCAGATGGCCTAGGAGGAGGAACAACTTAAACGTTGCGATCGTAACAACAGAAATGGGCTCTATAGCCATGGTTGGGAACTAGTCTAGGAGAGCAACTCTGAATTCAAAACCGTACGCACCCCTAACAATGTGCATATTATATAGCCGTAGAAAAGATTATGAAGTTCAAACTTAACTACAGAACGGAGTTGTCGGCTTTATGGCCTCGACTGCAGTTGACGTACTGTAAATAATGATAACTCCTCATCCCAGAAATTTAGACAGAAAAAGTGTACTCGGAATATAAGGCGAGGTAAAGCAATCTAGTGGATAGCGGCTAGAGATGAGAAATTTAAATTCTAATCGATTTCGTCACATTCACATACGCGCAAATAACTTTGAGAACGATATTAATCCATCTCACCCCCCCCCCAGCGAGCTCTCTAGCCGTGGTTGGGAACTGGTCTATGAGAAGGAAAACTCTGAATTCAAACCGGCCTGGAAAGAGTTGCGCTTCATCAGGTTATCTTGACCAAGACACACCACTGCTGCTACGGCTGCACTACATGTGATACTCCAATGGCCCTCAAGGGCTACAGAACTCGTAAGGAGGGTAATTCAGTAGGTTATTAATATTCGCTACTGAATTAAGTGTGATTGATACAAGTTAGATCATGTAAAAAATAATATTTGTTGTGCAAGCATTTTTTTATCATAGACTTATTGGTATATAAAATAGTCACGGTCATGGTTAGAAAGATATAAAAGCTAGTATCTAGATTAGTAATTTTGTTTGCTATCACCATTAATTAATGTTACTTTTGTATTTTCAGTCAATATGCTTCCTACTGCCTTCTTTATAGTATAATGGCTTTTAAAATTTTCCTTTCAAAGAATTTTATTAAATATTTATAGAACGAGATTTGTTAATTTTATATAGGGTCACAATACTATATAGAAATATTTAAATTTGAAACCTTATTTTTCTTTAATATTAACAAAGTTTATTACACAAGACTATAATATAAGAGCACTCTGAGAACTGATTTCATGAGCAATGGTTTACGAGATTAGCTTGTTAAAACAGCATGGGCATAAGTTTTATTGAATTTCTATTCCCGCGGTCGATATAAAAGGGAGAGAAAGAGACTGAATTTCAAAATGAAATTAAATCGTTACTTAAATACAGATTTGACTTCCGTGGTAATCACTTCATTCACCAAGGGTTTGCCTCTTTAACCGTAAAATAAAGTGAGCACAAGAAGCAAATAACACGTCTGAATAGCAGTGAAAAAAGATTTTTTCAATATAGATATATTAATAAATAAACAATAAAGATTGTATTTCGCCAGAAATCGCTAAACCATAGTAATTCTAGAAGATAACGTTTTTAGGGCAAGCAGTATTAGAGTGCTTGATATCAAGAGATAGACCATCATCATCATCAATAATAATAAAATTTATTCAATTATCTTATGACTTTCTCTTATGAGTTTTCGCGAACTCAGTGAACAGTGATAATAAGCGAGCACTATATATATATATATATATATGAAATAATAATAATAATAATCATTATTATTTCATATATATATATATATATATGAAATAATAATAATTATTATTATTTCATATATATATATATATATATATAAAAAATAATAATTATTATTATTATTTTATATATATATATATATATATATATATATGAAATAATAATTATTATCATTATTATTATTATTTCATATATATATATATATATATATATATATATATGAAATAATAATTATTATCATTATTTATATATATATATATATATATATATATATATATATATATATATAATGAAATAATTATTATCATTATTATTATTTCATATATATATATATATATATATATATATATATATGAAATAATAATTATTATCATTATTATTATTTCATATATATATATATATATATATATATATATGAAATAATAATTATTATCATTATTATTATTATTTCATATATATATATATATATATTTATATATATATATATATATATAAATAATAATTATTATTAATAATAATAATAATACTATAAACCTTATATTTAGTAGGTACACGTGTTTGAGTGGACATCAATTTTTTAACAGTGAAATTAATGTCTAACGCTCAAGAGATATAAATAGACTTATTGAATATAACGTTTATTAAAGAAATAACATCGGATTAAAAATACATTATTTGTGTTATATAACGAAGGGAAGCTGAAAAGTTCTCGGTCGACTAAGAAAGCCTTCCCTCCAAAATCTAATGTTTCACCATGTATTTTGGGAAGTGGGGCGAGCTGAGAACTTTTCATTACCCACCGGTACTACATATCCCCCCACCTCTACAGCATGTTACTTCGAAATGTACAAAAGGCATCTTAATTTTAAGCCTAAAATCAAAATTATACTGCAACCAGTGAGGATTGAATTCAAGAATAATGAGAAACAGCTTGTTAACCATTACGCCGCAATGCAGCTCTCGAAAGCAAGCAATTCATTTTAAGCCAAATAGATAATCTTGAATCCGTAATAAGGCTATCATTTAAAAGTCCTTTACAATTTAGTCTAAGAAATAATTTAAAAACAATCGTTTAATATCAAGAGCCACTGTATTTTTAACAATAATATTCACATTTTTATTTGATAGGCAATTAAAAAATAAATAATAATGTCCATCCCCTTGAGCATTACGTACAATGGACTGGCCATTTGAGAAACAGAAACTACGTTGCCATCGCTCATAATTATTTTCTTCGTCCTGCGCAAAACTTAGACGAAACCACATACCTGCAATCTTGAAAATCGGCCATGTCTGTTTATGTATTTTTTGTGCTTGCCGAAACCACTGAAAATGTACGAATAATTTCTTTCCCTCCTTGAAATAATGGGACTCAACTTGTTATGTATAATATAAAAGCTGACGTATTTATTTACGCGTTTCATTTTATTTAAGAAAAATATTTCGATTGGTCGAAGAAACAGTATAAATTATTTCTGAAGAGAAAAAAAAAACAACACAAACACAACTTTTCCAAATATCCATATATTTTCTGTGTATAAAAAAAAAAAAATCACCTACAAGTAAAATGTCTCTGGCACAAATGGAAACTGCTGTTAAGGGAATATCTTTTCACATGTGCGAAAAGACTATCACACGCCCTCCGAGAAATACAAGTATGGTAACCAACAACCAGTTTAATCAGAAAAAGCTTAGTCTTACTCCCGAAGACAGCAGTAAACGTACAGTCGAAACCATTTCAAGTGTCTTCAGAACATTTGCATTGAGGAGTTCTTCAAGAAATATCTTTACCAACATCAAGCTGTCCACTGTAGAAGCCTTTCTTCGCTGTGGTAACTTTTGCATGACGGACGGAGAAATCTACAAATCTATCGGCCTCTGCCTGCCTCATTCAGTCCGCTTTTCAAAAATCGACGTGAGATCGGCAATGGAACAGATTCTCATAGAAGGTTCTGTAGCCCGCCATGGTCTCTACGACATAAAGTCTGCCAATGGCACCATCCTAGGTGTGATTAAACTCTGGAATTTGAATCCAGAATGCATCGTTGACTGTTTACGTATCGCTCTTGTCCAGATCCAACGCGCAGACGCTCACCTAGGCCAGATGTGCAAACGGAACATTCAGTCTGTTTCGAATTCGGAAGCGCTGCTCTGTCCAACTTTAATGGAAGATTTGATGGCTTACGCGATCTGTCGACAGATAGAATTTGTCGGCAAAGTTTCTTCGTTGACTATTTGCTTAAACTCGACAAAGGTTAAGACGTCTGATGCCGACTTGATTCGAATTGTCAAGCCTTTTCCACCGGAGAAATGGACGACGAGCTTTATTAGTAGCATTCATTCTGGAGTCTTAACTAGCCGGTGGGTAAAAAGTGAAGCAATTTCCCGAGACAAAGTACCCGCTTCTAACCGCGATCTATCCGATCAGGCGGAACTGGACATCGGTTCAATTATCCGCGAATTTGTTATCGCTGTCTAATACCTCTGAACTTCGTTGAAAAAAAAATACTTTCACGGCACGTATGTGCATTTTGTTGTCGGATAAAATCGCTTGCATCTTGTATACAATACCATATTGGGACACTTTTACAGTCCTTTTTTTCTTCGCGAATGCTCCATCTATTTTTCTGTACCATCTCTACATGGGTTCAGATGTTTTTCGTACCAGATACCTTTCAACACCTTTTTATTGATAAAAAAAACTGTATATAAATTGCTATACCTTAATTGTAGAGGCCAAAATCTATACCTTGTTTATCTAAATTTTACCTTTATTGGGCACTTTCGTTTTTTTTTTGTTGTAAGATCTTTCATATTTTTTACGTTAGTTATTACACCGCTTTCGTATTTCCGTTCGGGCTGGTTTAATTTCAAACCTCTTAACTTTTTTTTATTGTCAAGAACACTAATAGGATTTGTATTTTTGCCTTTTTTCCCCCCTAAATAAAGCATGTAAGTTTTCAGCCTATAAAATTTACTTTAATTTTAAACTTTTTAAGGCTAAATTGGCTTTTTTTTTTTTTTTTTTTTAAAATCCAAAGTTGTATTCAACATGTTTTTGGATTAATTACTTGTAATTTTTTCCGAATAAAATGACTTTTTAATTTTGTCAAGTGAAATCGCTCGAAACTTAAGTTAATCATTGGTAACCACGCTAAAGATATATCACTGAAGACTCTACAGATTATTCGAATGAACCGGTTTTCCTGCAGGTACGTAAAGCAAAATTTCAGTTTGCGGTGTTTATAGTCAAATAAAAAACCGTCATTTCTCTCGTTTACGCCACTGACTATAGCGCCTGGATAGTTGACCCCCCTATATGTCAAGATAACTGTTTTTACTTTGTCTTAATTTTTTATTTAAATATCACATGCCAGTTAAGCCTAATAGGTTTGCTGCCATTTTAAAATCTTTTCCAACTTAATGCTCCTTTTAAAAGGTCCTAACAGTTAACTTTCTGCTTTTGTGGGACACTATCACTTGCAGTTAAGAGTACTTAAAAGCCGTTTGTAACGTAAATCCTTCATTCCCGACCTACACACACTGAATTTCTAAAGATTAAGTATCTTGACCGGAATATGAATCTTTCTGCAGCAGATTTTTCTAAACGCAAAAATGGTTTTTAATCAACCAAATATTATTTGGTAACTATTCCTTCAATCACAAATGTTCTACAATTCTTTGTCGTAACTTCTATTTGGCAAAAGTCTTCGATCTGTAATGATGTCGCAAATTTCTTCCGATGAGACGCGTTTCTTCGACTACATATGATTGTGACCCCCCCCTCCAAATATGGCTTTGTCATATCAAAGTTTTAGGTGAGAAACTAATCCGCATGCCCAGAAAAAAAAATGCATAGTTGTCGAGACTTTTGTAAATTTGTTCAGAATAACTGTACCAGACTTTCCTCACCTGGACTATTAAACCTTGAGGGACAGAAACCAGAAGCTTTACCTATTGTTCGTCAATTTCGCTTTGTTCTAAGGTCTCTGTGAAACTTTGTTTTAATTTGGAGATCCTAAAACGTACGGCCAGTCACATTGTCACCCACAAGTTCGTTCTATGCATGCTAATGTTTATTCTGCTGAAACGTCAAGTAGGAGTGTCCAGAAGTGTAAAACCTTTCTGGCATACACTAAGCGAGCTCGAGGCAACTTCTTTCTCGAAGGAGATCTGGCAATGTACAAAGCAAATTTTAACTATTCAGCATAATTAACAATTGCCTCCTAAAAAGTAGTATTTTCGCGGGCTTTTTTTTTAACTAGATTTCTGCAAATCCTAAACCTTACTATTTCGTACCTTAAATCCTTTGATTACTAATCGGCTTCTGGCTCCAATCTTAAGTTCACTGACCAGAATACAATAATAAATTTGTCAAATTCTTATATATTTACTGACTTCATCTGCATTTAGCAAAACACATACAGTGCGGATTCCATTCTCAAGCAAAGAAAAATTTCTTAATTCGTGTATTCCATTTATTTTTCACCAGTGCCTTGGACTGCTGTACATTTTCTATAAGAATAAGCCAAATAATAAAACACTACATCGAGGATTAATAATGCTGTCTTTCTATACCAACGATGTTTTTGTAAGTGATTCCCAGTAAAGTCACAGCCTCCACCTGACTTAATAAAAACAGGCACTTTACCTTTATTGGACTAATATTTCTTAAACATCAGACCACCTCTACAGGGCATAAAACCTGAGAGCTTTGCAGAGAAAGGTTAACTATAGCAGTCTATTTAAATTTAATATTCACGCGGAGTAAACTAAATCGGCCATTTATAGGAATCTTAGATAATTATTCCCAAATGTGGTGGAAAAACAAAACGATGGGGTGCAGAAAAGTTCTCCGCCCGAACAAGAAATATTTTTTTTTTTTCTTTCTTTCACTCACTCACTCACTCACTCACTCACTCACACAAAAAATATAAATGAATTGTTAATGATTATTGTATTTTAATTTTTTGTTAACATCTGTCTAATTATTTACATGGCATATGATTCTTTTTTTTTTCTTTTCTTTTTTCCCCCTTGTTGGATCAGAATCAAGTTTTATTAAAGAAAAACAATGTTTTTAGTAGGGCAAGACTTGTAATAGGATCTCTAAAGGGAACCTATAGATGTGGGGGGGGGAATAACTGTATTTTGTTCCGGATGTCTTCATTTAAGGACTTACTGAGAATATTTCTTCTTCAAAAACTCCACAACCAGAGCTGTCCAACCAGTTTGGTGACTGCAATATAAAAAGAGAAAAAAAATTTTTTTCCTTCTTACTATTATATTTTTATTGTAATTTTTAGTTTAACTTTTTTGTGTGTGTGTGTGTGAAAGATGAAATGAAAGCCTGGAATGAAAATGAGTGCCTATTCTTTTCTAAAGTGAAAAGATAGATAATTGTTGCTCCAGGATCAATATACACCACTCCAACATTACATCAAAAGCATAGAATATAATATAAAAATATGAACAATACTTGACCCCTATTTGATTTGTTGAAAATCAATTCTTAATATTGTGGCTGTCTTATTCTTATTAAGCCATCTTTATTTTTTTGTCATTTACCTTCAGAACAGTCTGTCACAGCTCTCTACAAATTCCTTTCTTTATTTGAATTATGACGACTTTGGGGGGGGGCATGATTTCCAAGGCTGAAGGGCGCAGGTGTCTTCTATGTGCTACACCCCTTCAGGATACTGCTGATCATGGCTCCCTTCGCTAAGGCTCCTGACCATTCACACAAACTTACCTATCCCTTAATATGCCCCCATGAGGGTTAAGTTTTTTCCAAGACCTCCTTCCTCATTATGTATCCAAGAAATTTTTTTTTTTATTTATTTATTTATTTCTCTCTCCCCCACTCTGAGGAGAAGTGTTCTTTCTCTTGTCGTTTTCTTTGAGAATCGCATTGCTTACTTGCTCCATCCAACTGTGGAATTTTCAGTATCCTTTCATTGTTCATTCCAAGAGCATTAGTGTGAAATGAAACAGACTGTAACTTGAACTCTGCCTGCTAATTCCACTTTCCCAATTCAGAATCATTACACTATCCCTACTATTTTAAGAGGTTGCTATTTGAAGACCTTTAAAAAAAAAAAAGTGAAAACTTCATTTATTTTTCCTGAAACTTCTACATTAGCTTATCAAAGTATCAGATTGTTTTAGGTTAAGGAGTTTAAAGATTAAATCCTTTAACTCTATACTGATGTGGTTCAATGTTGACCATCTTAAAATTGGCTTAGTTCAACAGATGTTCAGCAAAAAATGAAATCAATAACTTTGTTTTCTTTTAAATTTTCTCCTTTTATGTGGATAATGAACTTAGTCTACAAAACTTACAAAATCAAGTTCACAAAGATAAAAAGGGAACATTAAACTGACCTAGCTCCACAGCCACGACCAGTTTCTGCATGGAAAAACTCATAAAACAAAACTAGATGGCGCCAGCTTTCCTCCTCTGCATATTGCCGGAAGCCACCTGTAAAAGGAAAGAGAAGTAGAGACCTGTGGGTAGATCTTCTAGCCAAAATCTCAGTGATCTGAGGTTGTTGATTGTTCTGGTAAACAACCTCATTTAAGGTACACGTTAATGGCATTATCTCACTGAATAGGTTGTTTAAAAAGACAGAAATGCCACAAGGATATATGCAATCTTCTGGTAAATGAACTAGACTTCTAGAAATAGCTTGTTCCCCCCCCCAAACAATCATAGCCTTTTATTAATAAGAATAATATTAAAATATTTTATTAAAAGTTGCAATTACAACATTAAAAGGGACAAATGTTAAATATAAATTTCATTAACTTTTGTTTTGTCTAACACAAGTCCAAATGAAGTGAAATGGATTTGGGTATAAGTCTTACACCAGCCTTCCAGATGCAATGACCTACCTATCTTGAAGACCATTTGAAATTCTGGCTTTTCATGTTGACTCAAAAACAGCAATTGGCACACATGAGAGAAATCATAAAGCAGGCTTACAAGTTTTTAAACAATGAAAAATCTACAAACATTTAAGCATGCAAGATGTGCATTCAAGATTAATTACCCAGAAATTCAGGTATAAAAAAAAATTCATATTAAAAATAAATTCACCAATACTTGATAAATATATTTCACTGTTCCATGCTTTTTTTTAGTATCATTATTCACTTTTTGTTATATTCTTTTCACAAAGATTTTATTTTAATGCCAATCCCCTTCAGGATGTAAGCAATCACAGCTCACCACAGACTTTTTTTTCTGTGAATTGCCATGCATTCTCGGGAAGAAAGAGTTGTTTCCCCTCGCTTTCTCCATGGTTTTTTAATTCAGTATAGTTCTTCTCTTAGACTGTCTATCAGCCAAAACTAGAAAGTCCATTCTACGCTGATATTTAATCAAGAGATACCAAGATGATGATATGGATTTATGCCTTTTCTCCAATGGAATGAACAAGGTCAAAATTTGAATTCTGTTAACTGTTTTAGGCTAAATTATTTTTTTTATCAGGCCCTTGAATAACTTGCTATCTTTCAATGGTGTGTGTGTGCACTTCATACAATTCAAAAAATATTCTAACCCTAATCCCAATAAACTCACTAATATCAATAGTAGGGACTAATGATAATCTTCCAACTTTAGCTTCTTTATGAAATGTAAACAACTCAGATTTGTGCAGATTTTATCCTAATTCATAAAGCTTCACATATTAATATTGCCACATTTGTTTTTGATAAAATATAACCAAAGTAAAGTGCTCATTTCGTACTTACAATGAAAATTAAGTAAATCCATTAAATTTAATAAATTATATTCTTATTTCCACTACACAAAGGGTAGTTCTTAATCTGATTCAAAACATTCACAAAATGTTTTTAACATGGAAATACATTAAAATGTAAATGATATCAAAGCTTTCTTATTGGCTGTTTTTGTATTGAACTTTTTACTTTCTTTTATTAGAAATAACATAAACTGGTATAAAACACTTTGGTGGAAGATAAGTCCCATGGTCACATGATAAATGCTTCATGATGTTACTCTATACAGTGACCCAAAGCAAGAGTTGATTTTCAGTTTGTCAATAGCAACCAAATGAAAAGGTTGCTTTCTTCTAGCCTATGCCTTTGGCCCAGGCTAAATCTTTCTGAAGCCTTCTCCAGGTCAGGAATATCTTCAATTTATATGTAAGACCTTTCCTTCTGTTCCTCCTTATAATATACTTTGCTATGTAGACATATGTGACATATCGTTCTCTATGTGGGACATATATATATATTATTTATATAGTTTTGTATTTGTCTCAGTGGTATACAAGTCTCTCTGAGAACAAAGCATGTTTGTCATTCTTTTTTCTTTCAGCCATTCTGTTCCATCCACGAGCTATGGTGTTAGTGTATCACGGATATAACAATGCCCATAATGGGGGGAAATACACGTTCTTGTCACAATTTAAGTAGAAAGCACATTTATATATTGAACTACAAACAAAGGCAAAAAATTCACTTTAATTCAAATATATCAAAAACTAAGTCATGAAAAAGAAAAAAACAAATGATTTAGTAATTTTTCTCTTTCCCTGGTAAACATGAAAATAGTTTAATCATATTTGCATTCTGTTAGCTGAACTAATTCAGTTTATTAATGCCATTTGCCTAAAATATACAATTGCAGAAAACCTGACACTCTAAAAAAAAAAAAAAAAAAAAAAAAAAAAACTTCATCATTTGACCTTTTAATGACTGACTGATTAATACAAAACAGTTAACTGCATTAGATAATTAAATGTGAGGTTCACACATGTACATATTTTTTTATACACACACATACAAAAATGAAGAACATGAAAAAGAGAAGAAAAAGCTAGAAAAATATGGGGGAGAAAAATAACAAGCAACATCAAAATACCATCAGCATTAAAGGTTATGGAGAAACTGACCCATCCAGTCCTTAAAGGCTAATTGGAAGAAAGAACACATTAACTAATGAAGAGAAGCAAAGATGAAGGCATTCTGAAAGGTTAAAGAATCCAAGAGGATGGAACTGGTTATCTCTTCAGAGAACAATTTTTTTTTCTCTCAAACTGCAGATTACATTTTATCATAGGTTGATTCTTACTAGAATAAAGTCCAAAAAGCAATTTCTGAGATTATGTGTGAATTCAAGTTTTTGTTTTTTTTTCTTTTTTTGACACCTATTTCCCTGCTTCCACCAAAGACAAAACTTTGGCTCAAAATTCTTAAGTATCTTTTAAAAAAAAAAAAAATTGTAAAGTTGTTCAGTATCCACATAGTTTGCCAAACAAACCTCTCAACTGTCGGAATACAACAAGGTATTATATACAAAAAGTTATACAAATATAAAATTTTTATACCTATTTCTGTTATTTTGCTTGGTAGCTTCATTAAATTTAATCTTTGACTGCGTTTAACTTGTTTCATTTTCAGAAAACATCAGAAAGCAAGTAAGAACATCAAGATTTTGAAAGTTCAACCATTTTTTTTCCTAATTTATTTTTATGGTTTTAAAAACTGATATGTTAAGAGTACATATTCCCAGATAAAATAAAATGGGAGGAAGAGCAAGTACCTTGAATTCACAAATTTAAGTACAATACTAGATTGGCAGCTAGATCTAATCTTTTTACTGTTGAAATGGCCACTAGCTGAAAGCATAAGTTTTATGCTAACAGTTTCTTTTCTTGCTTGTAGTTTCTTGCTTTCCTGTCAACTACAATCGACAAAAATTTAAATGCAACTTTGTCACTTTCTCTTTCAATCCTGACCTTTTTAATGCCCTCTTTCCTCAATATTTTCTCAGTTTCTTTCACCCTCAGTAACCCTAGAGGCAGGCTTTATCACCTTGTCTAGGGTGAAATGATTAAAAAAAAAAATGACAACAACAACAAGAGTAAAAGTAGATTTGAAAAGTCTAATTTTCTGAAAAATTGTTTTAAGCAAAACATTTTATAAATTTCAACCAACAGTAACACTAACTGTTCAGTCAATGAATGCGGAATGTTTTTTTGCATGGAAACAGTTAATCTCACTATTACCATTAGACATTAATATAATCAAGCATTTCATTTTATAATAGACTAGATATGTGTACTAACCATGTACTGGCCTTTTTCCATCTTTGTCAGGTATGAAGATAGAGACAATCCTTTCAGAGATATCACGGACAACTTGTTGAAGATTTACAGATTTCCCAGAACCTGTTGGCAGTTCAACTTGGAAGTTATCACCATAAGCGTAATAATAGGATTCTAGTGATTCCAGCAATAAATAGTTCACTAGAAAGAGAAAACAAAGTGACACAATCAAGTCATCATTTTGAAAAATAAGTAAGCATTGAATATGTTTTAAACATTGAATTAATTTAAAAATTGCCATCTCACACAGTTGAAAATGTACCTTTAATTATGAGATGATTTAATGTTTTTTTTTTTTTTGTTCTATTTTTTTCTTGCAACTGTTGAATGAATGCAGATTTTATAGAATATCTATTTCAATATCCTGGTCATACAGTGCCAAACATTTATCCTAATCATTTAAAAAAATATCCAAAATCTTAAATATTTTTAATACTCAAAACTTTAAATTAATTTACAAAATTAACATGGAAGAGGAACAAAATTTGATTTTACATATATGATAAAAATATAGTTTTATGGTATACTATATTTATGGGTTAAAGGGCTCAATATCAGGGATAGAGCATGATGTAAATGTAAAAGTAGACATTGAAGTCAACACCCTGTGGTGATTGTCTGTTTCAGGCTTAAAACACAATCATCAGGCCATGTGTGTTGTGTTTTGGCTTGACTATTTATATATGCTGGTCAGTGGTGCATTATGGGTAGGTCTATTGTATTATTCTAATGGTTATTGGGTGGACGGTAATGGTAATATTTCAAGTGATTCTAGGAGCTTTTGAGTGGAAATAATTGTGGATCAAAATGCAGTTTTGTGGCTATTTTATAATGTTATTTTTTTTCTCGTTATTTATTATTTTATTTGTTGTTGATTTTTATTATTACATTTACTTGTGTTTATGTGTGCATTGGCAGTTTGTTAATTTGTTTACCACCCTGTTGGCTGGGGCTGTAGAATATGCTGACTGCACCTCTGTAGAAGAGTAAGGCCTCCACCAATTGGACCACCTGTTGGTCGGAGGTGGCAACTCCAAGGCACTAGGATGGAATCCTGGTGGTTGAGCAGTCATTGATCCAGCAACAGAGTGGTCAATGACTAGCAACACACCACTTTCTCCCTTACTTGGTCTGACAGGCGGTTGGATAAGCCCGATCCGATCAATCGGCTGGTCGTGACAAGCCCTAGCATCTATACATTTACCCCCAACTGTATTATTCAATCTGCATTTATGGCAAATACCCAACCCTCTTATCTTATAGGTGCTAGAAGGCAGCGGCTCAGGGTCAATTGCATTGAGTGAGTGAGATTTTTACCACTGAATCCCCAATATGCACTACATGCCAAGAGGAATTTACAGTGAAACATATACTGTTAGAGTGTGCAGACTTTGATCTAGTGCAAACAAAATATTACCAAGTGAGTAATTTAAAAACTTTTTACGAAAATAAAACCATCCAGGACTGTAAATTTCCTAAAAGAAGTTGGATTGTACTCAAAACTACGAGTAATTGAAAAATGGTTCAAATATATATGTATACATACACACCTTTTTACCAAACCTTCGCTATGAATCTATTTCAAAAATTTTGTTGGCATTAAATGACCCACTGAGGTTGATATGCCATAAAACAAAACAACCAACAAAATTAATTTGTTTACTTATTTATTTATTCAGATTAATTTACTTTACTTATTTATTCAATTTTATTTATTTTGTATTTATTTTTTCATTTTAGTTTTTGATTTTTAAATAACATAGTAAAAAATTTGTTTTCATGTCTGTATTTTAAGAGGGGTTCTGATCATTTATTTAGTAATTTGTATTCTTGGAAGGTAATTATAGCTATTTTCTCCTCTAGACTGAGTTTACAATTTGTTTTTTATAAATCACACCAATAATTTCATATGGAAAATAAAACAGCATCAGCCTACAACAATAAATTTAAAAACTGTTGTGCTTTTTTATTGTGTGTGTCCTGTTCTCAGTGCAATCTCTCTGATTTCGGACTATTCACCCATGGGTGTATCACCAATGGCACTTTAGAAGATGATGGCCATAAGCTAACAACAACAAAGATGGGGTCAATATAGTATAAATAATAGTTTTGAAAAAACAACAATATTCAATAGCTTCATCTTATAACTATTTTTGGGCTACCATATTTCATGGTTATTTTTTTTCTTCTTAAAATGGCAGCAAATAAATTACTTACTGCATAACCAAATTGGGCCTCTCCAGTTACTGTTGCCTCCAAACATACCACAAATTGATTCTCCTGGAGCATACTTAACTGTTACTTCTTTAACCATCTCATCGTATCTGCTATCATTGCTCTCAATATCACTGTCATCATCCTCCAACACTGGTTTTTCCCCTGGATTCCTTTCCACTTTTGAATCATGATGGCTTTCTCCCATATGGGCATGCATCTTTTGTTCGTCACTAGAGCATTCCATTTTACCACTGTTTAATTTGTGGCCTGTGTCTGTCTCAACTGGAGGAGGATAGGGATGATTTTCATAATGCTGCAAAATAAAAAAAAGCAAACAGAAAAAAAACATTAAACAAAGGTTATGTGTGATTTATAAACTTTAAGGCTTTTAAAATACATAAACATTTTTAATCAGCTGATTTTAATATCAATCATTTTAATTCCTGATTATAACGTCATCATTGTTTACACTAATAAGAATACAAGGGTAAATCTGTCAAACATAAAATTGTTTATTCAATTCTGATAATTAATAGGGAATGTGTGTTTTCCTTTTGGGTGGGGGGTTACAAACATGTATTCTTATTCTCATGAAGATGTAAAAGAACCTCCTCTCTTTTGGATGAAGTAATTATATAGTTTCCTGTCACCAACTGTCCCACATGTGCAAACACAGCTGGGTTAACTCTGTCTACATGTTGGGACAGCCACTGAAATCCAGTTAAGGCACAAAATCTGCACATGGTGGCTAGGAGGCCACCTTCCAGGTGAAAATATATCTGGTTCATCTAACACTGAAAGCAAAATCTATTTTGACATCATCTTGGAAAAGTTCAGTATATAATCACAGATCAACTTCTCTTAGAAAAAAGGGTTCCTTATTGACATTAAGCACAATTCAATTCACCTGGCATGAATCATGTATTATACAATGAGAAATTAAGAAAAAAAAATAATATTGTGTGTGTGTATATATATATATATATATATATATATATATATATATATATATATATATATTAAGTTATGAAGAACTTGGTAAACCGTATGGGTAATCCCAAGGAGGCTGAAATCCTGAGAGCTGTTGGAAGTGCTACCTGATTATCCAGCATCCTTTTAAAAGAACTCTGGTGAAATAAATTATTATAATGGTACCTTAAAATGGTCTGTTTTTCTTTTATATATATATATATATAAAGAGAGAGAGAACAGTAAGATATATAATCCAGTGTTCTTATTGATATTTTTATTTTTATTTTTATAAAACAGCATCCTTTTAAAAGGACTCTGGTGAAATAAATTATTGTAATGGTACCTTAAAATGGTCTGTTTTTCTTTTATATATATATATATATATATATATATAAAAAGAGAGAACAGTAAGATATATAATCCAGTGTTCTTATTGATATTTTTTTATTTTTTATTTTTATAAAACAGTGCTCAATTTATAGAGCATAAATATTATAAATTAACTGATTTAAAATATGGTTTCTTTACTACACAGTAATAACCATGTTTCAAAAACTGAAGCTAAAAACTTCAAGTTTAATTATATAATTAAATTAAAAGCATTAGTTCTGTTTTCACCCTGACAATGAAGAACGAATAGAGTACAATTCCAATGTTCATAACATTTAATTTAAAAAACGGCTGAATACAAAGCAGAGCAATATTATTTATTTTAGGATATTATATCAAAAATATTAAAAACAAAAAAAAAAAAACGGAGAAAAAAAGGATAGGGAATGGTTGTAGGGTTTGTTTGTTTTTACTCAAATCAACCAATTTCTTTTCTTCCTTTTCTCAGGAAAAGAGGGTGTATCTTGCTTTTAAATCTCAATAAATTGTCTACCAGTTATTTACTAATGCCTTGATTTTACATGTTTTGATGTAATATCCTAAAGTAAGATATATATATATATATATATATATATATATATATATATATATATATATATATATTCACACATGCACACACATCTCATCCCCTTTGGAAAGTGCCAGAAAACCAAGCTATAGGTTTATCCAAGTCTTATGAGTTAAATTGGGTAGATGGAACTATTTGGAAATCATTGCTGGTTGTGCTTGTATAAAATCACAAGTCATCATGACCGAAAGATTGAAGTTACTGGCCTTGTTCAAACAGCTGATCAAGCTAGATTGTGTGCTCTCTCCCAGAAATTGTAACCAAGATCTACTCAGCATAGTTGAAGTATAAAACACATGTGGGCTCTGTGGGTGTTAAACAAACACAAATGTGCCTGAGTGGGCATCTGCAACAGGAATTGTCTAACCACCCTAGCAAATGTGTGTGCCCAAAAAACAAGTAACCAGCCATTATTATATATCTACAGACAGAAACCTTTTCTGACAAAAATTTCATAATTCATATTTTTAAAAAGTTACGGCAAGAACCTTGTTGAAAATTTTGTATATTATCATGAAATGCTGTTCATTATGAAAAGAAATTCTCCATTTTGTTTATGATAAAAACTATTGTAGATCACAAATATGTCCAGTTTTCCCTGAAAATAGCAAGTCATTTTTTGATTTGTCTATATGTTTTTGTCTCAAAGTCTGATGAGTTATCAGAAATAATATTACAGAAAGTAGTCAGTAAAATAGGCAATTGGCAAATTGATTAAGTTTGCACATGTGTCTGTTTGATTAAACCAAAATATAGGATTCATTAGCATCAAATATTTCTCATCTAGTGTTAAATATTCAACCAATTAAGCCCAATTCTTTCCAATCACCAAAAGCACCATATAGATTGTAAATTTAATTTGATAAAAATATGTGCAGACTCAGGTAAAAAAAAATTATTTGTTTCTCCCCATAAGCTTAAAAATCAAACTTTCTCATTTATCAAAATCTTTTTCTCCCACACTCAAGACTGTCTTGGACTGTACTGACTGAGATCTGGCAATGTACAAAGCAAATTTTAACTATTCAGCATAATTAACAATTGCCTCCTAAAAAGTAGTCGTATTTTCACAAGCTTATTTGAACTAGATTTCTGCAAATCCTAAACCTTACTATTTCGTATCCTAAATCCTTTACTCAATAATCGGCTTCTGGCTCCAATCTTAGTTAAGTTCACTGACCAGAATACAATAATAAATTTGTCAAATTCTTATATATTTACTGACTTCATCTGCATTTAGCAAAACACATACAGTGCGGATTCCATTCTCAAGCAAAGAAAAATTTCTTAATTCTGTGTATTCCATTTATTTTTCACCAGTGCCTTGGACTGCTGTTCATTTCCTATAAGAATAAGCCAAATAATGAAACACTCTACATCGAGGATTAATAATGCTGTCTTTTCTATACCAACAATGTTTTTGTAAGTGATTCCCAGTAAAGTCACAGATTCCACCTGACTTAAAAACTGGCACTTTACCTTCATTGAACTAATATTTCTTAAACATCAAAGTGTTTATCTGATGATAACTTAGCTTGATTTTAGATAACCACTCATCAACGAGACTTACCAACAGCACAGATCCTCACAGCTTTTTCTATTCAGTCTTCATGATTATTTACCGCACTTGCTCGGTATTCAGGTTGGCATTCCATTTTCACATATTTACTGAATGTATGTTTCAAGTGGGCGACCAATACTAGCGTGTTTTGGTATCAACAACAGAATGTCACCAATAAACACATCCTTACTTTTCCAGGAATACCCTACAAATCTTATTCATCTCTTCTGAACAACTGGTGAAACAGGATGTAGATAGCCATAGAGCTGCTTTTTATCTAGGATGCTGTTCCCACAATAGATTCAATGCAATACTTAGCACTTTTGTATACATGACATCTAGCTTGTTTTCCAATCATTTTGTCAATGTCTATGAAGTGCTATCATAGAGCAAAGACTGATATGGCAAAAGCTTGGTGTCTCATTTCATTTTTTATCCAGTAGAGCAGATTTCTAGATTGTTGACAGCTTTACCAACAGGAATGCTCACACTTGAACAGATGCTACTTCCAAGAGAGATGAACTAATCAAACATTTTAATGGTTTGCCTGACAGGAAATTGATGTTTTAATCAACAAGACTACATCAATTCCCCATCCAGTAAGCTGAGTGTTATTGATAGAATAAGTGCAATAAAAATGGACATATTAAACTCAAACAACAGAAAAGAATGACAAAATTTTTTTATAGTTACCACAAAGAGGTAAATAAATAAAATAAATCAATAAAAAATCTTAACTGGTTTTAATTCTTCCCTTATCAGATCTTTATCAATGACTGAAAATATGTACACAGCAAATAAAAGACAGAATGTTATATATATTAAATATATAATCATCAAAGGAAGATAAAATTCAGGCCTAAAAGCCACTCCTTTTCCTTACAGAGGAAAGGATGGAAGGATTTAATACAGTCTCAAAAATCATTAGATAGAAATCTGAATGAACCTTCCTCAGTAATAAGAGATTATAGGACTAAGCACATTGATGGTTATGACAAATAAAGTTATTATATTTACAGTTAGAAAAAAGATTTAAGACCAATGCCCACTAAGAGTAATAGGACATTAATTAAATTGGAAATGATAAAACAGAATAAAAGTTAATAAAATTAATATCCAGAAAAAAAAAGTCTTGCAATTAGGTTAAATAGCAACAGGGAGGTTCAGATTTAAAAAATCATAAATCCAATATTGTAATGGTAAAAAATCAGTCTTGCAAGTCCATCTGAAAATACCAGGGCCATAAATCAAAACCATCAAAAATTTATATCACAATACACAATGAGCCTTTCACCTACAAAGAGCTAACCTCCTCCCCACCGTAGTCCAAAGTAGAGTTCTTTTATTAGGTAAGAAAGGTTGTGATTGGTCGAAACTGGCTGGGAAGAGCAAACGATTACCATATTTCAAGTCATACTAAAGATCTTGATTTGGATTTTTTTTTTTCAACAGATTGCACAAAGAACAAATTCTTTTCCAAGGTAAGAATTGTTTTCACCTTTGTCACCACAGCAATCAGCATTACTTAGGACAGGATTTATCTGGTGTTAATGATTTTACAAGCTCATGTTTTCTCTAACAATTTGACTTCATGCAAAAACCTCCTTGGCACCAAATGAGAAAGTAGTTATGTCAACACTAACCTTTGAGAGTGAACGAATTCCAAAAGGAGATAAAAACTCAGACTCTTTTAAAACCCAAGCTAAGATCTGCTGCAGCTGATTTTTAGAAATTAAGGATACAAAAAATTGTTCTTGGTTCAACATGACCTGCAGGGAAAAATAAAAAAAAGAAGTATATGAATTTTCTAAGAAAAAAAGAGTTAGCAGAGATTTTAGATTTGATGACATGTATAAACAATTTAAAAAAAAAAAACATTCCTACAATATCTCAGCAATTTACAACTCTTTTAGTCAAGATGAAATTACAAGAAGACATACACCAGACTAATTTATATTGCCCTCAATATTTTAGTATTTGTAGCTAATTCTAACTTGTATAGATACTAGCCGAAGAGGAGTGTTAAAAATTTAAACTGTAATGTCTCTTTTTATTTAAGCAAAAGAGACATGAGTGGGATTAGTTTAATCAAGGAGTGTCTATGGGTTAATGTTGTTAAAATCACAGAAACTTGATTATTGCTGTGAGTTTCATGAAAATCACTTTTGAATTAAAGAAAATTCACCAACTGTTTAATACAAAGAAAGAAAAAGATAAATTATTGAAATTTTATATAGATATTACTTTCTTAAGCAGCAAACAAAAATTAGAAAGACTTCTGAATGAAATCATTAGAATTTGTAATAACATATCATAGATAGATTTGTACTTTTGTCCATCAAAATTATTGACCAAATAAAACTTTATGATTACAAGTACCAAAAAATTTTAAAAAAGTTAAAATTAATGGTATAATCTAATCTGTTGTAGACTATAAGACTAAAATGTTTTAAATGTATACATAAAAGAAACTAACCACATTAAAAAAAAAGAAAAGAAAAACAATTTTATATATTTCCATCATTTTCATAAGATGAGAATAAATAAAAATTAGAAAAGATTTTTTTAAATTTTTTTTTACAACTTTTCTTTTTAATTTTCAAAGTATGAAAGTGTCCAAAAAAAAGAAATCAAATATTCAATACTCTGACAATAGAAATAACTATGAAAATATTTATATAAAACTAGTGTACCCATGCCATTAAAAATGATGGTAATTGTTAAAAAGTTTTAACATTGAGATGCAAACAATGTACTGAGATTCAATAAAGAATTCACAACTAAAATAGAGGCCAATGAAGTGTTTAATTAATTAGATTTTTTAGATATTCAATGGTATCTATGATTCATTTATTACTCTTGGCATCATATAAATGGCTTTTTGCTCATTAACTTTTCTTGTTAAAAATGTTATGTTTAATATAACAGTGACTTGAAATGGAAACACCTTTTGAAAGAAAAAGATTAGTAACAGAGTGATGACAAAGCCTATCTCAAAACCAAATTGAAGCAAGACAATCACTTAGTAGACAAAGCTGCCTTGCAAGAATGGTTCAAATGAGATTGCAGTTTAAGAAACATAATAGAGAAATGATTAATAAAAGAGTTTGTTTTTGTCAAAATAAAAGATATTTTATTTCTATAGATTATTAAAATGACTAAGAAAAGTAATCACTCATAAATTTACCTCCCTTCCCACTATAATGTAGGACATGAAAGATATAAATAAGTGAATACACAATGGTAATTATTATATAGTAGATAATGTAACACTTTCTTAAATTAAATACTATTTACTTACAAGAATAGTTTTCAGAGTTACTTTCAGACCTTTGATAAAACTATATTATTAAAAATTTCTGAAAATGTATCATTATGACAAAATGTATCAACAAGACAAAAGATTACATGCGTGCAAAAGTTCTCGGCACCCTATTTTTCAAAATCAGAATCTGAATACACATCAGATTTTTTTTATTAAAAAACTGGATACTTTTGCAAACACCTAATAATTAGTAGCTTAATGATGAAAAAATAGCATTCATATGAGAAACATTTATTCTACACAATATACTTCCTTGTCAAAACATTTATTTCTAAGGCAAATATGAATCACGCAGCTTGGAAAATTATACAATGAATATTTCAGATTACAATTCAACCTATGATTTATGTTATGACACTATTGATCCACACTGATAAAAATTTTGAATAGTTTGTTCAGTTTAAGATTAACAAGTAAGAATATATTCTTTTTTTTTTCTTTAGATTTTTTCTTTTTTTTTGCTTCTTCCTATCCTCATTTCTGAGGGTCAGGAAGCATGGGCAATTTTTACAGTTCTGAATGCAGAGTTGTCATTCAGCTAGTCTGGTTGCCAACCATGGCTAAAAAACCTGGTCTGCTTTGCTATTTAGCCTATAGCTAGGGGAAGGAATGGATTCATACCATTCCCAAAGGAATCAGCATGTAAGTGAATATAACAAACTCAACTGAAATTCAAACTTGGCTATTTTCATAAAATGGAAAATGGTCTACATTTCCAGGAAAAGAATGACAAACACTAAATAGGAAATTCTTTGTCATTTACATAGGGTCTTGGTTTTTCTGCTTTATGCGTTAATTGCATGTAAATTTCTTTCCTGGCAGTTATATGTAAAGGTGGGAAATTTGACAACTTCTTATCTACAATTAATGAAGATAGCTTTATGACATATAATGTGAATGTTACTTGTTTTTGATACAAGCACCCATAATTGTGGGGTAAAAACAAAGATTAGGGTTCAGTTATGCTCAATGCACACACTCAAGTGATTAAAGAAAATGGTGAGAGAAGATAAAAATTGTACAGCTAAAAGAAAAACAATAAATCTTTTCCTAATCTTGACACTAAGATCAATTGATTCTAGCCAAACAATGTTTTGCATTTTCCCAAACACAGATTTCTAAGAGAGAAGCTTGAATCAAACTTACATGATATTTCTGATGACTTGTGTACTCTTTCACCTTCTTTATAGTATTCTGTTGTGAAAGCTGTCAAATAAGTTACTAAAAAAGATTGACACAGTTTGGCATAGATTTTTTTTTAAGCAAATAGTGTTCAGTAATTATAATTCCCTTTCCTCTCATGTCTGAAACCGTTTTCCTCCAAGAGGTGAACAAGGAGAGATCCAACAATCTAAGCAAATGGAACTGAAATGGCTTCAAACTGTTCATAAGAAAGTAATTAATTATTGCATCTAAATAGGTTCACATTCTTGTCTGAGAATTTGGTAGCATAATAGTTGCGACTGAATTCCTTGAAGTTGTCATTATTTACATTCAGACTAAAGTCCTCATTTTTGTTGTTGTTATCATGTTTTGCTCTTTGTGCCACCCAGCATTCTGTCAAACTGTATAACCTTCATGGAATTTTGAACAGAACCCTTTATTTAATCTATGGAGGTAGATGGTTCTCATTGACAGCAGAACAAAATCATTCTATCCCCCATAGAAATAAAGATGAAATGAAGTGTTCAGTTTGAAATTCCCTAGAGGTTACCCATATTAAGAAAGCCAGAGGGCACAACAGCCAAAACATTGTGATAATAACAACAAAAAGGTGGACATTAATCCAAATGTAAATAATATATATAATAGTAATTGTGAGTTTAATACCTGGGCTAGGTAGTACAGACTCAGTGGAAACAGGGTGAGCAATAACTGATCAGTATTAGAAAAAGAAGATGAGATTAGACATGAACAGTGGTATGAGAATAATCCCTGTAGATTAAATAAAGTGTAGTACCTGACTTTCTTAAGGTACTTGTCAATCTGGGTAAGCTTCAGGGAATTTCAAACTTAATCTTAATCTTAATCTATAGGTGGTAGATTGTTCTCCTTCTGCTGTCCATGTCTAGAGATATCACATCTTGTTAGACATGAACAATGAGATGAGAACAATCTACCTGTATAGATTAAATAAAGGGTTCAGTTCAAAATTCTCTTAAGTTTACCTGGGTTGACAGACACCAAAAAAGCTTAGATGGCACAATGATAAAAACTGCAATTATTATTATTGAGTTGCTACACTACACCCATCCACTGTTTCACACAGAGCCTTGTCTTGGGTGTTATGGTTTGAATGTCCTTAAGAGTGCATGAATCTTCAGGATTGGGGCAAACTAGAAGATGTTCCATAGTTTGTGATTGCCTGCATTGAACAGTTGGGACCAACATCAGTGACATATCCCCATTTCTGAAGGTTGGCTTTACAGTCGCCAATAGCTGTTCAGAGGCAATTCAGACAGAACCAGAAAGGCCAAGCATCACTGGAGCCAGGGAACAAGAGATTTTGTAGGGCTGAGAGAGAGTTTGTGTTCCATGTTGTTAACGTTGATGCACCACGGGGACAGACACTGACTAGGAGCTCTGTTGTTCATTGGTTAGACTGAATTTAGAAAGCTATGTCTTGACTTGAGCCTCTTTGTCATAGGTTCACAGCTGTGGAGTGGATGACATTGTGGTATTAACAACAAAAATGAAGATATTAGTTCAAAAGTAAATGATGTCAATAATAACTTCTCATCCCAGAAATTCAGCCAGAAAAAATTATTGTCTTGTTTTTGAAGTCCATCACAGACCATGTATACAATCAATAAAGGTAGATTTCAAATCTACTTACTAGTAATAAGGGATTGATAATTATTATTAATTCTTAATAAGTTATGTTATATGTAATCCAATAAAACTGAACTCTCTTGAGTTCAGTTTTGTTAGATTAGGTGATACAAGCACATAATTAGATGAAGTGAAAACATGCACATAGTCCTGGATATAATCTCACTACTGAATGCCACAAGAGATTTTACTTGCCACATTTTAAACCTTGGATTAAGTTAATCCTCATTTATCAACTTGGTCAGCTAAAATTCCCTCATACAACTACATTGATTCCAGACATAATGTTGACATCCATCACCATTCTAAAACATAATTTTTTAATAATCTACATTGATATAATTCACTGGGTATTCTAAAAAGACTAACAGTTTACCCAAACATTAAAGCATGAATATTCAGCTTCATGAAATTAAATGTGTGCAAAACTAACCAGCACCCTTTTTTTTTGTTTTTATTGTAACTACTGTTTCAATATACAGTAGAAACCATTTTTTTTTAAAATAAAAAACAAAAAAGATGTTCTGGAAACTTTTGCACACACCCAATATTTCAGTTCTTTTGCCACTTTTTATAAATCTACTCATCAGATGAGAGAATAGATAAAAGTGCAGATATGTTTTAGGAACAAGTCAAAAAAAAAAAAAGAAAAACGTAGGAATCAATAGTCCCCATATAAAAATTATGTATATATTTAGATTTGCAATAAATTCAAATTGAGTGTACACTGCTAAAAACATAATTATAGAAAAAAATGAGCATTTGTTAGAAATGTACTTTCTGGAACATAGATTTGAGTAACTTAATAAATCTTTCAACATCATCAAAGAATTTCAAAGACAAAAACAATACAATATGAATCTAGCCTAACTAGGACTGTTCTGTATAACAAAATACACTTTGAGTAGTCTTTCATGTTAACAGTATTGCTTTGATGTATTTATTGACATTAAATAGGGATAGAAAAGAATACATAAATATTCAACCTATAACTTAGTCTAACCAAACTGGGCTGTTTAATGCTGGCTGGTTTAGCTAAAATTTTAAATTCAAGTAAATCCTATTTCTAATTTTTAAGGAAAAATTAATAAAATGTTTCCATTTCCATTCTCTTTTAATATTACTCAATCAAAATTTTATAAAATTCACAAATGGCTATCAGGAAAAAAAGGGTTTTGTCTTAATAGATCTTCATCACATATTTATCTACACCTAAGAGACATGTATCATTAGATCAAAACATTATTAGCTTCAAGTGCTAACCTATCAAGGGCTATTTATTTTCAAACAAGAGAAATGAAATACAAACCTTATTTTTGCTCATTGCTTTATGCATAATACTTAAGAACCTTGGATTGGTGGATATGGACTTGGGAATTGTAATAAAAGCACAAGCAAACAATGGAACCAGGCCAACCAAGGAACGGGTGCAGAGAGGAATGATTTCATCAGAATGGTAAGGCAGTAAAATGTCATAGAAAAATTTATCTTCTTCATCCCAAAAACCTGAAAAGAAATCAAAACATTCACAGACATATTTTGATAGATTGAGTTCTCTTAAATCTCAAATGAGATTGAAAACCATTTCAGCTGAGCTTTTAGTTCCAATAATTCAACAACCAAAAAAAAAAAGAAATTATGATCTTTGTTATATTTTTACCAAAGTTTAAATATTTACATCCTTAACCCATTAAACACATTGTGAAATCATTAGCCCATTAAATCTTATTGAAAATCATTAAACCATAACTCATTAAACACATTGTGAAATCCAATGTTAATTATAAAAATTAAAAAAACAGTCTTATGGTCCTCCAAAAAAGAAAAAAATCTAGTGTTAATTACATATTTATAAAAATAAATCCGGTATTATAGGCTTATAAAAACAAACATGGTATTAGAGTTTTATAAAAGAAAATCCTGTATTAATTATATGTTTATAAAAATTCCAGTATTAATTAAATATTAATAAAAATACAGTATTACTAACAGGTCCTTATAACCTATTACATCTAAATACCCACCATCCCAAAAATGAAACATAAGAGATTTCACTAAAAGATTTCTGGATGCTCTTTGTTCTCATAACATAGTGAATCACTGCATTATCCATCAGGAAAACCTGTGCACACAAAAGTATTGAGATTTGTTGAAGTTATAAAAAATGTAGTCCAATGTGTTATTATATTCATTCACGGGGATTAAATCATCACCAGTTTAAGAATTTCTTAGAGGAAATTGATGCCGATTGTCCCAATGTTGTGTATTTCTCTGCAGTGCATTGTCTCAGTAGTGCTGCCACTTTAAAGAGATTCTGGAATATTGAAGGAATCTTCATGAAATACAAACAACATGATGTTGTCTATTTAAAGGATGATAATTGGTTGAATGACTATACTTTCTTGACTGATATCTAACAACATCTATCCAATTTAGATGTAAAGCTACAGGGTAATGTTCAGTTGGTGAACAAGTTATTTGAACAGAAATTGGTTCTTTCTCAATTACAATTGAAGGAAACAGCATATACCCATTTTCTCTGCCTGGAAGCAAGAAAATGTGATCCCTAACCTCACTTTAACAAAATATATTGCAACTATTCAAAAACTGAGGGAAGAATTTGCTCACAGGTTTGTGGATTTCAGAAAATATGAAAATGAGTTAAAACCGTTTGCTCAACCATTTGAAACGTCAGGTGAACACAGTTCTGCTATCAAACAGAGTTTATTGATTTTCAGTCAGACATGGACTTGAGAAGAGTATACAGTGAAAACAATTTGATGACATTTTATTCAAAGTATGTAAATGGAAGATATACAAATATGACACAAGATGCCATTAAAATGAGCTCTCCTTTTGGAAGCACATACTGCTGTGAACAGTTTTTTTCAAGGACAAAGCTTACTGATGATAATTTGTTGAGTCAACTACATGTTGCCACTACATCTGTAAAGACTGACATTGATAAGTCATGCAAAGACAAAAAAATATCAAGTGTCATATTAATAAAATTATTTATTCTCATGCTCATTAATCTAATAAAAATGTGAAAATGCATCTATACAGGTTGTTGTTACAATAAGTCTTTGTATGTTAAAAATATATGTTCTATCCAAAATATCATATTTTTGGAAATGACTGGCTCTCCTTATCACTTGAACTTTTGGAAGTGGCACTCCAAGAAAATATGTTGAACACCCCTGCCATAGAACAATCAAATGGTGTAATTTTGAAAGCTTCTCTTTCTAGACCAAAAGTTCTCGTATGGCACTCAGTTTAATCAATGACCTTATCAAATAGATTATCAGCGACAACCATGTGTACTGATTTTTTCAATCACCTTCTCTGATGTTTCTCTCTATTATTGTGACTTCATTCCAATGACAAACACACCATTTTCCTCTCTACACATTTGATTGATCAATTTGTTTTTTTTTTGTTTTTTAATGGCTTACCAACCCTTTGTTGATTATTTAAAGTAAAAACATATTTTGGATTGTAAGAATAATTCTTTTTTTTTTTTTGCAGTTAAATATTGTATTAACAATTTTTTGGCGATAATGATTTTTCCAGATACAAAACCTATTTAACCCATAGCTAGGGGAAAAGATGGATTAATACCTCTCCTAAACATATTCACGTGTAAGTGAATGTAATGAACTGAAATTTGAACTCAGCTCTATATTCCTTACACCATTCACATATACCCACCCCCACAGACACAATATGAGCTATATCTGACTTCATAGTTTCTCACTGGACAAAAGCTTTTTTGTTTCTCCAGACTTACTTTTAAAATTATATTCCCTGCCACAACTGCCTGAAATGCTATATATACAGTTCTCAGTCATGTTCTCATCCAATGGAAGCTTGGCTCTGATCAGATCTTTCCAAAAGCTGGAATACTACTACAAATGTTCAAATATTTTCTCAGGTTGTTTTTATGTAATTATATGGCACAAATATGGTACCAGTCTCTGGTACACTGGAAAGATTTGCTATGTCAATGATGACTGGCCTTAGAATGAATAAGATACCATATCCTCATCTTTAGTACAGGTAGTCCCAAAATGACTGTGGAATAGGACATATCTCAAAAAAAGAAAAAAATGAAAGGGAGGGTCACTTTCACACAAATGTCCTTGAGAAAGGCATCTACCCTTTGTACCTCCAGCTATGGGTTAAATAACATGGTAAACTGGGCTCTCTAGCCTGAAGTATGGCAACCAGTCTACAAGAATGAAAACTCATGTCCTTTAAGACATGGTATATATATATATATATATATATATATATATATATATATATATATATATATATATATATATATATATATATATATATATATATATATATATATATATATATATATATATATATATATATATATATATATATATATATATATATATATATATATATATATATATATATATATATATATATATATATATATATATATATATATATATATATATATATATATATATATATATATATATATATATATATATATATTACATATATATATATATATATATATATATATATATATATATATATATATATATATATATATATATATATATATATATATATATATATATATATATATATATATATATATATATATATATATATAATTTAACAGAAAATAATGAATGCTAGAACATTCTTTGCAAGATCTGAGGTCAAAGTTTCACACTTAAGGATGGTGCATTTACCTGCCTGATTGATTGGAGAATTTGCAGTATCTGCAATCAAAAAGAAATAGTTGAGAAATCTTTCTGCCATGTCTAAGTAATCATTGTCAAGTTGACTAAGTTCCAATGCCATTTCAAAGAGTTTCAAAGAATAGAATGCCATCCAAGCAGTGCCATCAGCCTAGAGAAAAAGAAAGAAAATTATAAGTTTATCTAACCCAATATCTTCACCTTTGAATTTTTTATAAACATCACGCTAATTTTTTGTGTAAAGACTGAGTAAAAAAGAAAGTTTTGTCAGTTCATATTTTATCAATATTCATATTAAATTTAGAGAAAACCTCCAGAACAAGATAAATATGTTTTCTGGATTACTAATATAGAATTTATATTGAACAAAATACTTTTTTATGGATCACCCATCTATAGAGTACATGACGGGATTTTTACTATGTAGATGTTGTTATATAAATTTGGGCTTAAGATTTGATTAATTGAAGTAACAGACTTTTTGAGTGCAATGTATTTTATTCTGTACACTCTGCTTTGCTTGAATGTCATTTACTTCCTTTGAAACATTTTTTTTTTCAATTTTGGGAAGGATTTAAGTGGAATGATTCTGAAATGCAGGTTCAGTTTACAATATAAGTACCATGTCAAACTGGACTTTGATTTTGCTCCTAGAGCAAATCATAATAATGTTCAATTTAATATGTGAATTGAATGACAAACTTGATCCTGATTTTTTACCTATTTATGCAAATATGGCTATAAACAAAAGGCAAAATCTAACTGAAATAAAAGCAAATATAAAAACATTAAAATCAATAAAAGAAGAATAAAAAAGGCAAAACACCCAACTGAGATAAAATTGATATTTCAGATTTAAAATATCTTTTTCTTATAACAGTGACAGAGAATTAGCATACACTTTCACAGTCGTACTTGCATAATCAGGCACAAAAATCAGGGTCCAGCTTTACATTCACTTCAAACATTAAACTGAACATTTGCAGTCAACTTAATATTTCTTAAAAATGAAATATATCTCTGTAGATTAAATATTAATGTCATATCTAGTTTGATAATCCTACTATATATCTCAAGACTGTCAACAAAATCCAAAGGGTCTGTAATGTTATTAGTCCTGACCTGGCATCTCAACTTCAGTGACTTTCCCACCACCCATAATATAGCATCCCTGTGCTTTTTTTTATAAATATTTTCTTATTTATTCATATATTTATATCACATTTTCATATTTGTTCTAATAGACTTTCCTGCATTCTACTAGATTACTGTTGAAATAGCTATAGATGCAACCAGAAGTTTTATTCTAATAGTTTCTTTTCTCACACTTCTCAACTGTGGAACTCAATTCTGGTTTCTTGCTTCCCTGCCAAGTACAATCTTCAAAAATTTAAATGCAATGTCAATCATCATCTTCTGTCTTCCTGAACAGTGTCATTTATTGTTCCATATTGATGTTTTCTTATTTTCTTTCACCCTCAGTAATCCCTTTAGTAGCATTACTGTTTTGCTTGGAGGGGAAATGATTATAAATAAAGAGAAATTAATGCCATATTTGAACAAAGCAAACTATATAAGAAAATGCCTGTTCACATATATAGCCAGTGACTCATATTCGAGTATGCCTGTTTGCTACTCTGATACATCTGTGTATCTTTAACACCCACAGAGTCAACCTGTATTTTATACTGCAGTTATGCCCAGCAAATCTTAGTTACAATTTCTGAGAGAGGACATAATCTAGCATGATCAAATTTGAACAAATCCAGTAGACTCAAACCCTTGATCACGTTGATTTGTGACTTTGTGCTAGCACAATGATCAACATCTTCCGAACAGTTCTGTCTATCCAATTTCATTTACAAGGCTTGAATCAACCCATTTGCAGGTACTTCCCAATGGTGTCGCACATGTTGGGATCATCACCCCCTAGCCCAATATTATCAAGAAGTCACCTCCCTTACAAATCAACAATGATGAGGATGCAAACAAAAAAGAAACTTGAAGCAACAAAGATGTGGTTCTACCAAGGAATTCTAAAAATACCATGAACAGAACAGGTCTGGAAATTTGTTCAAAATAAAGTCCCTGTAGACAGTCCTGTATGAAGTGCTGGAAGAACATATGGACCTACCAGACAGTCACCTACAATTCCAGCCCACACATTAAGGCAAGGAGAAAGTTTTAAGGAGAACAGAAACTACAAACAAATTGCTCATAACAATCAGTTGTAATTTGGTGGGGGGTGGCACCTAATGGGGAAAGATAACTTGAAGAATTGAATACTTGCAAGGTGTACATTGAAGGCAAGAGAAGAAGTAGAAAAAATCCAAGTAACCTACTTAACAAGTATGAGTAAATTGATGATGAAACAAGTACCATGATGACCAAGAGAAGTCATAAAAAGCTGCTAGAATAAAGTATAACAACAAAAATCAGGAAATTATAGAAAGACATGATTGTCTACAACATGAAAGGATATGTCTCCAAGGGAAGAAGAGCAAAATGACAAATCAGTATTATCCATAAATTCCAATGACTTCACAGGACAATAATCCTTATAAAATTATTCTTTAACTTTGTTGCAGTTTTATATCAAGCATTATGGCTTTAATTCCTGCATTCATGATGGAAAGAGCAAATTAAAGTATGTGGTTCACTACTGGTTTTGGAAAATTTATCAAAGTCACAACTCAATGCACATTTTTGTAAGAACAAAATGAATATATAAGGAAGTGCTGAAATGTTATTGGCCTGGCTAAGAAGCCCTTCAAAAAATGATGGAAAAGAAATTTTCCTGTCAAACCTCAAACTAACAAAATTATACATACTATAGGTAAGCAGACAGACTCCAATATTAATATGGTCTTCTCTTATGTAAAATCTTCCACCCAAATATGAAAGATTACTAATTTGTTGAATGTTTTTAATTTGTAACCACACAGAAAATTTTAAAATAAATCATTACAATGTTATCACACCTGAGCAAGCATGTAGCCTGGGGGTATTCCATGTGATCGGTTGTAAACACTGATATTGTCCATGCCAAGGAAGCCACCACCATACAAATGTCCAGGACCAGGAATTTTCTTGGCATTTATCCACCTTCAAAAGTAACATTCATTTTACTGTAGACATTTTCTGATTTCTTTTTATAAATAAAAGATAAACTGGCAAAATAGATAACTAATAAAAACGTTATTAGAAGTACAAAATTTAATTAATGCAATAAAATGAGACAAGAGGAAAACTTTAACTACAGTCATTGGCAATACAAAAATAAAAAATACTATAGAATAGCTAACCAGTAATTGTTCCTCACTCATCAATCCTTGAAATAATATTAAATCAAGAAAACCACCCTCATGCAAACAAAAAGATTGGTTAGGAGATAGTGTGATTGATTGATATATATATATATATATATATATATATATATATATATATATATATATATATATATTGTGGCATGGATAAATTGTCACCACTTTATATTTTTAATTTTGTACATGCGCATTGTTTTTGATTTTGTCAACTACACAGTATAGTAGGCTCAGTTGGGAACCATCTGTGATAAAAAAGAACACCATGATGCAATTCACTCCAACAGAAATTTGGAAACCGCATGCTGTACTGCTTGGCATTCATGCCAAAAGTTCCAATACAAACATTTCCAAGTTTGAGTGTCAATCTGAGGATAGTGCAGAAGATTCAGAAAGAGTTGGATGAGTCTAATGGTGATTACAAAGGTCTTTGGAATGATCACTAGTAATAGTGACGTTATGCCTCCATTCATCTTCCCACGGGGCTTCAGACTCAACACGGAGGCCTACATTAAGTGCTTTGAAGAGGTGGTGCTGCCCTGACTGAAGAGGGTGGGTGCTGGAAGACACTATGTCTGGCCACAGGACTGCACCATGCCACACAAGCAGGAAACCCAGTCATGGCTGTCAGACAATTTCTGTGACCACATCACCACTCTGGCCATGTAACTCCACAGACTGCAACCCCCTTGATTATTATGTGTGGGGTGCAGTTGAGTGAGAAAGCAAAACTCCTTATAACCCCAAAGATGAACTGAAGGCAAGAATTATGGCAGTATTCACCAACTTAAACAAGGAGACCGTCCAGAATAGCTGCAGGAGATGCCGAAGTCTTCTGCATGTCAGTGTTATTTTCATTTTTGCATAATTTAGATGACAATTTATCTCTCACACCCTATATATATATATATATATATATATATATATATATATATATATATATATATATATATACAGATATATATACACCTATTAATATGTCATTGTTTATTTTTTCTTCCTCATGTTTCCCTTTTTCAGTCAGTGTGTAAATTATTTTAATTTCCTCAATAAAGTTCTGATTGCATTAGATAAAAAATAATTAAACATTCCTTTTACTAATTATTTAAAGGGACATAAAACAGATAACATTTACAAAATGAATAAATAAAGACTGTATGTGTAGGTAGGTAGGTAGGTTCAAAGAGATGGTAAAAAAAATAGTTCACAGCCCAACAAAGAAGGTAGAAAAAGAAAACGAGCTTTTTTCAGTATATCCTGGTATTTATGTAAACTACACACACGTACAATATATATATATATATATATATATATATATATAAATAGCATTCTAAAAAAACGTGTACCATTATGAAGAGAGAAATAGGCTCTGTCCCAGAGCTATTAGGACACCAGCACACTTACAGTATTTGTGGAAAAGTCATCCTATCGGCGGCTGGTTTAGCCAGTCACATGAGATCACATTAAAGAGGAGAGGTGCAAACTTCTGTGAATGCAACTCAACCAGAAAGACATGCAGGTTACTTGTTCAAGTTTTGTGACAAGGTTTGTAAGTCTGTTGCAGGACTCAAATGTCACATGATTGTACACAAGGACAGGCAATTTCCAGCAGAGGTAACACAGACAAACTTTGTTTGCCACATGTGTAAGAGATGTTGTAAAAGTGAAACTGACCTTAAGAATCACTTACAAGCCCATAACAGAGCATTAGCTCAGGTATAATGGAAATAATAAAAATCTGACTGAAAAAAAACAAAAAAATTACCATGATCATCTTCTGCAAAGAAGTAACAATCATCATCATATATACAGGGTGTATCAAAAATACTTTTACAAACTTTGGGAGTGGGTTCCTCACACCAAACCAAAGACAAAAGTCCATATAAACATATGTCTGCAAATCCTTCATTTTGAGTTATCAAGTTTAAAGTTTAAATGTATAATCCAAGAAACAATCCAAAAATACTTTGGGGCAGGTTCCCGACACTAAAACAAGGTAAAATGTCTATATAAATACCCCTAAAAGGCCATCATTGTATCTCAACACAGCAACTCATAACAAATGTTCAAAATGTCCTCTGTTTGCTTCTACGCCTGTCGGATCATTGACTGGTGGACCCTTTCAAATACTCCCACATGGTGTCAAATGGTTTTGCAGACCCCAATGACACTTTGATAAAGCATCTCTACATTATTAATGTCTGTTGCATAAAACAATTGTTTTAGTTGATGCTACATATAAAAATCCAAAGGACTGATTTCAGGGGAACGTGCAGGCCATTGAATCGTTCCTCTCCTATCTATCCATCTTTCATGGTAGATCTCAGTCAGTGTATCATGAACAATGTGACTAAAATATGCTGGGGACACAACATGCATGAACCATATGCATCTTCATATTAGCAGGGGGCATATCCTCTAACAGGTCTGGAAATGTGTTCAAAATAAAGTCCCTGTAGACACTCCTGTATGATGTGCTGGGGGAACATATGGACCTACCAGACAGTCACCTACAATTCTAGCCTACACATTAATTGTAAACTGATGCTGGTGTCTAACCTGTATTGTACTATGGGGAATTCTGATTTGTGTAAATTTGTTATTCCATTTCTTCCAAATATTGCCTCATCCATAAACATGACTAAAGAGACAAACAGCAGATCAACAGTTTGTACAATAAGTCATCGGCAAAAGTTCTCCCAGGGTGAGTGATCTAAGGGCACATGTTGCAAATGATATGGATACAGGAGCTGCTCTTGAAGTACTCTCCATATGGTACTATGAGATGTATGACATGCTAGAGTCACTTGACATGTGCTGATACCTGGGTCATCTCCAACAGCCTGTAGAAGGTGTTCTTTGTGGTCAGGTGTACAAGCAAATCTTGGTCTTCCTCAATACACAGTTTGTGGTCCTACAGATCCTGTCTCAGCAACATGAGGATAAAAGTTGGATGACTCGGCTGCTTTCAATCTGCAAATGCAATCTAATACAGCTGTGAAGCCTCATATCCATTAACACTTGTGCAGCCATATATAAAAATCATATCTGCTTGCTCACAATATGAATATCCTGCCATAACACTTCTCAGCTAACTCACTACTACACACATAAAACGTAGAAGATAGACTAGCCACAAATGAACACGAATGACAAATGTAACCTAGCCTACATGGCAACAACTTTAAACTTAACTCAAAAACAAAGGATTTGCAGACATATGTTTATATGAACTTTTGTCCTACCTTTTATGTGTGGAACCCATTCCTAAAGTTTTGTAAAAGTACTTTTAATACACCTTGTATATATTTTAGACAAACTACTGGACTGTCCTTTTATTTAAAAGAAATGACTAGTGTATTTGCTTTTATTTTAGTCTTTCTCCAGGCTTCACTTACTTCCAAAGAGTTCAAATTTGGATTCATCTGTCCACAATACATTTTGCTAAATTATGAATATTTGATGAGAAACATTATATTTTGTTTTCATGATTAACCCCTCAGTAGACTTTTTAAGATTACCAAAAGGGCCAGAGATTTGTTTCAGGTCAAAGGAATAATATCATTTGATTTTTCAAAGACATGCTATACCATGTCGTTTATGTTTAATTTGAAAAAAACTTCATCTTTCAACAAGACAATGATCCAAAACACTTGTCTAAATTATGTCAAAATTACCTCAAGTCAAATAAAAATAATAAAATTTTGGAAATTATGACTTGGCTATCTCAATCACCTGACCTCTCACCCACTGAATTAGTATGGGATGAATTGGAGAGGAAAGTTTGAGGAAAACACCCAAAGTGTGGGTGTGTGCTTTTTTAGTGACTGAAGAATGCTTGGAAATGTCTGCCATCAAAAACTGTTGGAAAGAATGCCAAGAATTTGCAAAGCAGTAATTAAGGCAAGTGGTGGTTTTATTGATGAAAACAAACTATGATGCTATTGTATGATAATTTTTTTATACTTAAGTGCTTATTTTTGTCAAAATAAAAGCAAATACACTGCAGTTACTGAAATTTTATCTTTTCTTTTAAAAACTTCACTTTCACTAAATAAATAATTATATATATATATATATATATATAAAGAATTAATGATTTATTTAATCCGATATTTGTACAATGTTATTATAGTGGAGGCACCCCGTTTTTATTTATTAAAATAATATGTATTATTACATCTGTCAGCCTGTGCATTTGAGAAGACTTAGTAAAGAAAATACTTTTCACAGCAAGAGCTGGATCAAAGAAGGAGACAGGCTCAGTCTCTGTTGTGTATATCATGTATAAATATTATTGCTTCCATTCATAACCAATAACCACATTACATAAGAATCAAATATCAATGAATATCCATGTTTATGGTAGGTTTGTTTTTCAACTTACCAAGTGTAATTTAATAAAAGCCTTTGAAAACATTTTTTTAGAAAATGAATATCTTTTTTTGAGTTTTTGTATACATGGAGGCAGGCCCATGCATGAACAGGCGGATTTGTGTCACTGAAGTCAAATTCATAGGCAGGCAACTGGAAAAAGAAAAATAAGCTTTGTTAATCAACACTGTGCATTCTACATGGTGGCCAAGATAGTTGCATATCTGACATGAGGGGTCAGTGTTTGAGCCCAGGATCTCAATAGCCAATTTTCAAAACAAGCAAGTCCTTTCCACATAAATGACCAACAATCTTCCTAAACCATCCCCACCACCTCCCATTTGGCCTTGTGAAAATACTAAACTATTTTTAGGAAATATCAATACCAATTCTGATTTAATGGCATCAAATTTAAGCCAATAAAAATCACTCCAAAGGAAAGATCAGCTTAAAATGAGTTATGATTGGATTATAAATTAACAACTGAACCAAACTGCCAAATAAATTAAAAACAGCAACATGTAGCCTCAATTCTCCATGTTGCATACCATGGCATTGAATCTACATGTTGCTAGAGTCATTACATAGATATATCTATCCAAGTACAATCTCTAACTGCTCAGAGCCATTATTTCTTGGGTGTGGCTATTATTTTTATATAAAAGTTCACCCAATACAAGACTCAACAGTCACTCAAGGTTAAATGGTCAATTTTAAAATGGTTATGATAAATGAGGTGTGGGATGTGAAAGAGAAGATGGTAGGAAGTGAAAATTTTGAGGATAAGGAAAATAGATAATAACTGACCCTTGAAGAAGTTAAGCTTATATTGTTCAGGGAAGCAACAATATGGGAATCTGATCCACAAAATTATAGTTATATTTTGTTTGTTTAATGGAATATCAACACCTTATGGATCATTTAATGCCAAAATTTACTTTTCTTAAGAGCTTTGAAGTAATATATGTTACTCTGCTTTCACAATTGAATATAAAAATATATTGCTGATATTTTTACTATAAGAAAGTACTTTTATATCTCCATACTGTTTTGTTTGGGGGTTCCCTATTTGCTCATGGCTGGGACCCTAACAGGTGCTACCACGCCAGGTTAGGATGGACCTGGGAACAACAGCAATTAAGAGGTGGTTCCACACTCCTCAAAATCTCCAATCTCCCAATCAGAGGCCTTGCTGCCAGATAGTCCACAAAGTGGTAGTTCTTGGGGAATGGAATGTTCACCTTATATTTGAAATACAGGAAATGAGGCTGATTCAACTCCATGGGAGTAGCATGGTATGTCTTAGTTGTAAAGGTCTGAATTGGTGTAACTATAAAATGGTGCTCATCTGAACATTTACCATGGAAACTGTGATGGAGTAGTGAAGTTGCATCTGTGGAGCAGAGAATAAGTCTTAATGATGTCTGCAACATGTCTTCACTCATGCTTCAGTGGGGTTTTAATATGGTGATCACAGGGACTCATGGAATAGCTGAAAGTCAGCTAAGTGCCCCTTGAACCAATTTTATGTCACTTGTGGCATTATCTTGCTGGAGTAAGCCATCATCTCCTCTCTTCCTTGGGAAACATGACAAGCAGAAAAGGGCGAAAATGGTCTGGATCCAGATCTTTTTATATTGTACCTGTTAAGAGAGACTCCAGTTTCACTTGTGGTCCTTGTGAACTCAAATAGAACACACTTCACACAGAGAGCCACCACAACTTGCCACAATACCCTGTGTCTATAGCCTCATGTAGCCTCCTCCAGACACAAACCCAACTTTCAGTCCAAAAACTGGATTCATCAGACATGGCAATGCTCTCTAGCACAGATGCCACTGATATCCTTCTGAAATTCACATTCCCAGTAAACCCTTGATAGAGTTACACAATAAAACCTCTTGGATAAGAGTGCTTCATCTTTCTGGCCCTAAAAAACATTCCATAACTAAACAGGATTTAAATCACGTCCATATTTCAAGGTTGCCATGGCTATACTACCTCTTTACATCACACATACATCACTCAGCGGAATCTAATTTTCTGCAAGTGTATTATTATTTCTAATTTTTGAAACCCGAATTTAGAAGCTGAAGCAAGTTACTCATACACAGTTTATCAGATAGAAACATTTACTTTTAAAAAACAAAGTAATCCAGCCTCATTATCAAAGAGATCAAATAATCCTATCTCATTACCAATGGATAGGACATCAATTTTAACTAATACTGCAGGGTATTGCATAAATTAGATCAATTCCAGTCATAACCAATATCCAAAAATTTACATAAACATAAAATATCAATGGATATCCACAATTATTTTTTTCCACTTACCAAACACAATTTAATAAAATACTTTATCTATAAAATAAAAAAACATAAAATGTTTTTTTTTTTAATAAAACAGTATGAGAGGATAAGGGACAAATAGGAAATATTTATAAATTTAACGTTTCATTTTTATTTAAGCTTCTTCAGAAAATGAGATATGAAGAAAAAATTCTGGTATTTTTAATTTTTGTGTTGTTTAATTAAAAATATCCTACCATTCTATCATATTTCAATTTATATTTGATCCCCATTCATAAAAAGAGTTTACCATAAAAATATATTTTTAAAAGGCTAAACCTAAATCTATTGCTTTTCAAGACTGGCACCTTTTATTTCTTCCAGGAATGGATATCTTGTTTCCATCCCTTTTTGTCTGTCCTGCCTGCAACTCTCATCCCAAAAGCATGGGACAAGAACAATATAACCTCAAATAGGCAAAATATTCCATTCTAAACTCTTTGAATGTACCTAAATACAACATACATCTGAGTAAAGACTGGATGAAATTAACCCAGCTGCAATATGTTGATAAAAACAATAGAGATGAAGATGCTAGTTTGAGAAGAAAAAGTAATCATTGAATAATAATGATACACTATGCAGGAAATTTAAACATAAATTGTAAGATCAGTACAGACTTGGTGCGGCACTTCAGCTGATACTGTGTTTTTAATGATCGTTAGATGAGGAATATTCTCAGAAATTATTAGATGATGACAATTAGTACTAATAGAATAATAATAATAATAATTCACAATGCTCACCTGCCCACTTGGGTGAAGGTAATTGTCAGATAAAAACAAAAGTAATTGTTTTTTGGTGAAAAGTGGATCAATAGTAGAGAATGGAATCATGTGGAAGGCCAAATCCCAAGTCGCATACTGTGAAGATAAAGAAAAGAGAGTTCTTCAGAAAATTAAATTTCAACAAGGAAAGAATAACCTACCTGCAGTGAATGAACATTCTAAATTCAATTTTCCCCACTTTTGATGATTTCATTTTGACATTCCTTATTCAGTTTATTTCTGTTCAATGAAAATATTTCCTGCCTTCATTTACAAATGACTTAATATCTTCTGTAAATGATGGCAGGAGGCCTTTTTGGGGAAATCCAACCAAATTGTATTAAATTAATATATTTCAAGGTATAAGAAGAAAAAATTACTTTTCCTCTCATAAAATACTAGCAGTAGAGCCCAGCGTTGCCCAGAGATATAACAGTAAGAGATAGATCAAGTATCGACCATCATAAAGACTGAAAAATAAAATTGACAAAGATTATTGTTTAAGGTTGACGGACATGCATGTCTTAGTTTTTTTTTGTTTTGTTTTTTTTTTTGTTTTTTTTACGAATTGGTCAAACCCAAACTCAAACAAAAACATTGTTTTCAATCGTTATGAGTCTACCGATTGAATAGAATTTTATTATAAACAATTGTCTTGTAAATGGAATTTTTAAAGCATTCTGAATGCAAAAATAAAGAAAAAAGTGTGCAAGACAATAAGAAACACTACCTGCCAAAAAAAAGAGAAGTTTTGTTGAAATTGGTTGAAAAATGTAGGAAATCCGATCCTGTATATAAACGAACACACACACACACACAAACAACCTGGGTTTTAAGTATAACTCGATATGAGTTGTCCCCCTTTCATTCTTGCAATGCCTCTTAATCGTGTTTTTAAATTGATTTTGTGCAAAAACAACTGTGTTTTTCCGATTTTTGGCACTGTCAGAACCATCACAAGGTAATTTTATGTAGTCCTGTGAAGTTTTGTTGAAATCGGTTGAAAGATTTAGGAAATCCAATCCAATATATAAACGTACACACACACACAACCTAGGTTTTATAATAAGTATGATTAAACATTCATAAATTTGTAATAAACACACAAGAAGAAACTTGTTTTGAATTGGGCCAAATTGTAAACAAAAGATAAAGTTCCAGTCATGTTAGATTTATTTGTTATCCAAATTTTTTTTTTTAGCCCTTCATTAATACCACAGGGACACCACACAAAATGTTTTTCTTTAATATTTAGCAAGTGACAAGTCAAATTTTCATCATTAGACAAGTAGCTTTCTGAATACCTCTGTCAAGTAACTACAATTAGTTTCTGGTTTTAGTCAAAATACTCATATGAATTACAGGCAGTTTTATTTGTTTATTTAAAATAAAAAGAAACTTACTATGCATATTTTAATTTTTGAAACGTAAAAAATCTTTTTTTAATACTGGCCTTTTAATTCAATTTTCTGAAATAAAACCTTTTGTTTTTTTCATTCTTATTTATCCTATTAGAACCAGAAAGAATACTACATACAATATATAACAAGAAAATTAAAACTAAATGATATAACTATAATATTTTAAAACCTCTTGATACTATAGGGATACAGAAGGCGATTATCTCCCTTTGGTGGAGATATGTAATATGGGTCATATGACAGCTGCTTAATGATGTCACTGCATACAGTGATGAAAACAGCAGTCAAATTCACTCAGTAAGCTTATTGGTGTCAAGACACATGTATGTGTTTGTCTTGCCTTGGGTAGCCAGCTGGCAAGTGATACAGCTCACAAGTCCAGGATTCCATTTCCTTTTGGGCATATATCTTTTCCAGATATAGAAAGAAACTCTGGCTCACAGTCCTCAATTTGGGAAAACCCAAGACACACTTTTTCCCCTTCATGGAATATGTCCTCACCTGGGACATAGTAAATGAATATGGCCCATTTGAATCTGGAGTCAAACATGGATTCTCCAAACACAGGAGTATCTCGATATTATATGTAAGATCCATCCTTTTTGTTTCTCTTTACTTTCTGCTTGCTATGTAGATACGAGTGATATATTATTATCCACATGGGACACATGTGTGTGCGTGTATATATATATATATATATATATATATATATATATATATATATATATATATATATATATATATATATTAGTTTTGTGTTTGTCTCAGTGGTATAAAAGTCTCTCTGAGAACAAAGCATGTTTGCCATTCCTTTTACTTTCAGCCATTCTATTCCGTCTGTGGAGGATTACAGTGCTATTATATCACAGATATAACAAATGAAAAAATAAACCTTTCTCCAATAGCTCTCTTCCGTTATAATATTAATGCTGTAACAATGCCCCATGGTACTAATGGAGGGTTAATATATATATATTGAGGAGTGTGGACTTATATGCCATTGAATAGTCATCTAACTGCATGCAGCAAGTAACCCATATGTACCCTATGAACTCACCAACTGTATACATGTACTCCAGTCAATGAATAGATAACTAGCTCTAGACACTTTTGGCCCATTGATCTCATAAATGAAAAGAAGTGATTATTTATAACATGAAGATGACATGTCTCCTGCTTGTCAACAATCCAGATTAGATGGGATTCATATATTGCTTCTGGGCCTAATCTCAGTGCAATTTTGATTAATTGATTTGTCTTATATCAAAATTGTTATAAACCATTTTAAGGTTATTAAAAGCCAAAACATTTTTTGATTGTGAGAATTTGGGGGAGATAATAATTTTCTGATACAAGTCTTACTAATTAAACTACAATTGGGAGGAGGTGGATTCACGCCTTTCCCAAGAGTATTTGCACATAAGTGAATATAATGAACTTGATTAGAATTCATACTTGGTGCTCCAATTTCTCATTCCAAGCCATTATCCATTACACTGCCCACATATCCAAGCTTACAGCATCTGGTATTCCTGAGCAGACACCCATCTAGGTACTGACCAGATTCAACATTGCTTAACTTCGATGATTGGATTTCATTGTATTTCAATGTGATATAGCTGTAAACCCAGTGTCATTTTGGAATAAAGGGCAAAACCAGCAGTGACTTGAGATTTAAATCAACTGACAGCCCATGTTTGTCTCTAGGTCTCTTAAATTTTTACCACAGGTGGATATCATCATAATCTCTTTGAATTCATTTTTTTTTTTAATTTCTTTGTCCATGGATCAATTTACTGGAAATTTCCTTTACAGTACTTTTTTACAAGAGCATTTCTATGTTTTTGATATTTTTGTTGCTTTCAGTTCTCTCTTATGAGCCCATCATGTATAAAAATGAAGTAACTAATGTAAAATAGAACTGTATGCATGTGTTGGCAGTGCTGAATTAGCCATTAAGCAAAATAAACATATGCTTAGGGCATCAAGGGAAGAGGCCACCATAGAAATTATGATATGATATGACCTCTACACATCTAAAGAAATAAGTCAAATACGACATTTGAATCTGCTGGGCACCATTATCAATGGGGAGTCGACTGAACCCTGAAGAATCTTTATTGTAATTCTGATTGGTTAATAAGGCAATGGGATAAGGGAGATAAAAAGGTTTTTATTTACTCATTACATCACATCTCCCTTCTTGAATAAGTTAGTATTACTAATTAACTTTATGGTATTTAATTTTTGTAAACAATCATGGTGGCAGACTAGGATCATGTTCACTTGGCATTATTCTGGCCATATGCTTATGTGATTTTGTAACATGCTGGTATGTTGATTACATGAACACTTCTGGTTATAGTTCCATAAGAATCTGGTTGTAGCTCATTTTACAGTGGCTGCTCAACTATGATTGGTTCTTTCTGTATGGGTTTCCAGGGAATGATGATCAGCCTCTCTCAATTGTCACATATGCTTTCAGTGACTTCTATATTTATTTCCAGCTGGCACTTTCATGATGATCTCGACCAATGTTTTTTTTTCTTTACACTACTCACCAAGACTAGAATATTTATCTTGCAGATATATGGGGGGAGGCCCCAAAATCTTTTAAGTGTTTAGGGTTCCTATAGGTATTAATCTAGCCTTACATGTGTTATATAAGAAACATAGGCACACACTTAGAAGATATTAATCCCTTAATACCCACTATAAAATTTAGATTGATTCTTCTTTCATTTGCTATGGCCTTCCACATCTTCCTGACTCTTATAGCTCTTAATAAGTTTTGTCTTTTTGTTATTTCTTCCAAACCCTGTTCTGCTATCCACTTACTCAAACCCATCAAGTATGTTATGCACTGCATTCTTCTGTCCCTCTTGTCCTCAATCTGTCCTGTGACTATCAGTTTTTCAAAAAACTCCTTCCTCATTACAAGCCCCAGAAATTTCAACTGCCTCTTCCTGATGTTAAGTATAAGTTTCCTTTTTGTTTCCATTCTCTCCAGAACTGCGTTGTTGTTCACATGCTCGGCTCATGGTATCCTTAGTATCTTTCGGTAGAACCACATTTCTCTTGCTTCAAGTCTCTTTCCTCATCTTTGAGGAGATTATCCAGCATTTGCTGCCATACAAGAGGACAGATATCAAGTAACAGTTCAGTACTCTTTTGTTTGTTTCCAGCAAAATTTTTCTGTCTCTTAATACTCTGCTTAGCTTTTGGAATGCATCTTTGGCCATCCCAATACATCTTCAGATCTCAGTGTCACACTTTCCGACCTCTGTTAGAACACTTCCCAGATATTTAAATTTCTGTACCAGCTTGATTTTAGTGTCCCAGACCTGTAAATTGCATTTTGGGCTCATCTTTTTTACTGATGACCATCCATTCTATCTTCTTGCTTAGTTCCTTCTTCTCACTACCTTCAGTAGGAGGTTTTGTAGTTTCATTTCCATGTCTGCTATCAGTGTCACAAAAATACATAGGAGAAACCTCAAGGAATATAAATAAAAGATTATATGAACACAAAAGGGACATTTTACAAAATAATACATCAAATGCATTGGCTTCCCACCATAATGAAACTGACCACAACTTTGACATAAAAAATGCTTCTCTGATCAAAGGAAAAAATAATTCACTATGACTACTCATAATGTATAGAGAGTGCCT